TACCCTGACATCGTTCTTGCTACCACCCGGCGCCGTAGGCGGGATCCGATGTACAGGGTTTTTTTCTAAATCTTCTTGCTGTCTGAGTAATAAAATTTGTTCCCCTACAAGAGGTGGCTTACTAGGCCTACTCTTGATTTCCACGGGGTGATCGCTGACCCCGGGCTTGGAGCAGGGAGGGACCGCCTAGCGACCAGAAGAAGCCAGACGGCGGAGAATCTGGCGCGGCCAGTTCTTAGCTAGGCATCCGGCCGAAACCGGAAACGTCGAACTCCTTCACAGCTTGGGAGGCCCTACCAGAGTATACACTCGGCTGTGCATCGCAGTTCGACACCCAGTGTCACCCCCACGCCACGATGAGGCGACCGACCATTGTGGGGGTTGAAAAAGAATCTCATGGATAATTACGATGACTAGCTAAATTTGCTAATTTGTAAATTCGCTTGGTTGTCTGCCAAGAGAATTGAGGCAAACTTACCAAAAATGAGTCTTTATTCCAAAAAAAAAGGTATTTTCAGAGAATACCATGAGTTTCAAAGAGTTCTCGAAATTGAGACTATATGAAACCCTTATTTTGATGTGGTTGATTGATTTACCCAAAACCTTCAAGAAAAATACTTGTAATAATCTCCGAAGAAAAAAAAATCAAAAAAATTTTTTTTTCTGAATCACGTATTTACAATTGCAAAGTTACTTTATAAAAACCTGTCAAGATTTTCAGAAAATCAGCTTCTGCATTCTTGTCAAGCACTTCTGTAACCTCCTCCTTTGTAGATTTATTTATCCAAAAAGCAGTTGTCTGCGCTAGTTTTCAGGGCCGGTAGTAATCTACCCTACCTGGTGGCATCATAGATGCCGGCAAGTTGGCACACATCGCGGAAAGATGCCAACTCCGCCGGCAGCTCGCGGAGTGATTGTAGGTTTCAATAATCTTGTATAATCTCAGTACGCGGTTATTTCGCTCATCAAATTTTGATAACGTAGACAGCAGCAAAACCGCTGTCTCGCACGCGGTCGAACCTAAGTGTGCTAACTTCAAGTGCTGCCACGTTACCCACTCGACCATTCGGTCTGTCCTTGTCGTTTGCATCAGCAATATGAGCAACGCACTGGTGAATGGCCGCCTGTAAGAAGGATCGATACATTGCGCGAGAGACTTTGACCTGAAAGAACAGCTGATTGATATGAGCGAGAGAGGGGCGAAATCGGTGCAAATAAGATTTAGAAAGGCTTGCAAAAAAAGATGGTGTTTCTTATGGTTCTAAGGCATTACTAGATTTTTTCTCTGTTAGAAAATCGTCGTTTTAAACAAGAAAAACTCATATATTGAGAAAAATGAAGTTCTTTGGATGGAAAGTAGAATTTTTTGATATTTTCGCCTGGCGTAAATTGTGTGATATCGCCGCAATTCGCAATCTCACAGACGCCGTCGGCAAAGGTGCCACCACCTCGACGTGGTAGGGGCACGTCGAGATGCCGGCAGCTCCCTCTCTCAAAAGAACACGCTATTTCCCGTGCTCTCTGACCTGCCGGCAGCTGCCATCTCGCGGATTTCGACGAGCTGCCGGCAGGTTGCCGGCAACTGACATCGCGAAGTTGCCGGCAGCTCCTCCTGCGCTTCCAGATATTTTACCAAAGGAGGAGTTCTGGAACCGCAGACTTTTATGGAGTTTTCTACAGAGTCGAGGCGGCATCTTTATCGAGAAAATTTTTTGGAATAAGGCCTGGGACGGCCTAAATTTGGAGTCTCACTTTTTGGCCACCTCACGGAAAAGGTGCCAGCGACCTGCCGACGAGACCTGCCGCCAGGTCGGGGGGATCATTACCGGCGCAGCTATTTCAACACATCATCTATTTTTGTCCTCTTTCTCAAGACACGAGGATGGCAATCTTACTCAAAATCGCATTATATAGAATTTATCTAGAATTCTTCGCTCATTTTCATGTTAGTTCGAAATTAGGTGACGATTTGCACCTATTGCTGACCAAACTTGACTTTTGAAATGTATCAGAGTAGAGCTCCATGACTAGACAAAAATGTTCTTTTTGAAAATTTTCGCGGCAGCGCTTAGAGACGCGACGCAGCGCTGAAGCGACAAATGGGATCGCCGCGAAGGAAATACCGGTCGCCGTCGCCCCAGCTATTCTCAAATTTTTGTCTTGTCGACTGAGTTGACTGTAAGCAAAGTCTAGGAAAATTAGTTTTCTGCATCTCCTTTGATAAGATTTACATTCCTAGAACAGCAAAACAAAATCTTTTTTCTGAGTTATCAATTTTTCCTATTCTACTGCCACGAGCATCAGTACCGCCGCTTCACGAAGCAGCTTTTTGCTATCTGCTACGCAAATTTGAGCACAGGAGAAATAGTAGATTTCTGTTTCAAAAGAAAAATTTTTTTTTCAAGACTCGTATGTTTTGCTAGCAACTTATAAATAAAATTCCAAATCGCTTTCAGTCTTCATGAAAGCACTTATCAATTTGAGTTGCTAAAATCTCGATGTTTCACCAATTTCTCAACTATATCACACAAGTCTCACTTTCGAAGCAACGTCGAGTACTTTCTTAGAAACCGTCAACCTACTGTGCATGAATTATAACAATTTTTTTAACCCAAACTTTATGAGGTCCAGAAAAAAAGTCATTTAGCAGCCTGATCATCCTTCTCGGTCGAATTCAGATGTTCAGAGCTCTGGAAAAAGACCAATTTTTTTCAAACGTAAAAGCGCACTTTTACAGCCGAGCAATACAGCTAGTGTTCAAGGCACCTAGCGTCGGGTTCGGAAGTTACTAAGTGTTTTTTTTTCTAAAACAGCTCAGTTTCTTGAAAAGAAATTCAAAAAGGCCAAAAAAAAACTCCACTAAGCGGTGTCCTTTGACATTGCAACAATCTTTCATGGCACTTTTCAAAAAGGTTGCAAGACATGACTGACAAAGCTGACCATACAAACTGCATATTTAAAAAGTTTTTTTTGCTTTATCGTTTGGTTTCTCACTTCTCACTACTATTCTATACTTTTGACAAATGATCCAAGACCGTTCAACATAGGCTTCCAAAAACAAAAAAAGGTGGCGAAAGGACTACACATCCGTTCACTTTGCATTTTCGTCAGCGCTTAGCAGGTGGATTTCAACCATCGGTTATCATCTACCATACAAAAAAAATTCTAGCGGAACATAAGGTAATTATTTGAATTCAACTGAATTCACCCGTGGTGCAAGAAACATTCATAACTGCCCATTTCAGAAAGAAAATGACAGCATAAGCGTCGCTTACACTTTTCGGTTCATCGAATACTTACCTTTGATTTAAATTCAGTATTTTTCTGGTTGCGAAACGATCGTGCGAGAGTCCTGTACGAATCTGACCTCGCGCGACTAACACGTTCGCGACAGTTTCAGATATGCGAAAGCGAGGCTAACAAAAAAAAGTGCGAGTAAAGGTAGAAGAAATAGTACAGTGGCATCGAAACTATTCTGTTTTTACTTAGTATTCTCGTATAGCCGTTTTGTGAAAATCTTGTTGTCGTCATTATTCTCATGTCAAGTGTTCACCATTGTATCATAACCGATTTTCTGTTCGAGTTTTAGTCCACACTCACATGTTTAGAGCATGTGAGGAAAACAGAAACTATATGCCCCATTATACTGTGTTCACCTTTGTATTATTGTTTTCTGCCATCAGATGTTCAGAGCGTCTGAAAAAACAGGATGTTTTGAGAGCCAGTAGCAAACTTCTCATTAGCTTCATTTACGCAGCGGCTACAGGCACAGAGTAAGTTTGCCGCAAGCGTCTGCACTATAACAAGAAATACTTCTCCGATGGGCGACTCGGAGAAGCCTTTCAGTCATTCAAAATTTCACCCCACGCCCTTGTGGGCAACGTTAGGGAAGTGTTCCCTCATGAGTTGCCCACAAGATAGTTTCCGAAAATTTCATGTTTTGTTGCCTTTAATTTTTTCTGGCTGTAACGACGAATCTTCAAAACGTCAAAATTTTGAACGTTCGGTCACATTAGCGATTTTTTTGCATTTTAAATTGTTGTATGCATATTTTCAAGTATATTCATTTCTTCAATATTCAAGCCAACCCCGTCACCACATATCAAAACTTTTGAACATATCCCCGTTCGTCTTTTGAGCTATACCGCTGCTACCATGTCTTTTTATCCTCGCTATCATTGCAGTACTCGTTCCTTCAGCTCGGATAAAGCCCACCCATCTACGCTGTATTGATATCACCATTATCGCTTTGATCCACCTTTCCGAACAATTGCGGAAGCCTCACCTTTTGATAACTATCCAATTTGCAAGCTTATTTTGCTCTGCTTATTCTTCAGCTCGAGACGAGCTCTTCTTTTGACAGGGCGTGCGAAAGCCGCGTTTTTTCCTATGAGCCCTTTTCCTCCTGTCCACATGCTTTCGAAGAGCAATCAAGCGACTCAGCAATGATGCGATCAACAACACTCACTTATCCTGCCCGCAGTCAGTGACAACTGGTAAATGGGCAACCTTGATGACGATAATGGTAGCAGCAGCACTCTACTGCTTTTATACGAAACAGTGACGAAACAAATGGTACATGGGCAGTTTTGATGACGATAATTGTATCAACAACGCCCTCTTGCCCTCAAACGGAGCAATGATGAAACAAATGGCAATAAGCAGTCGATCACGACAATGGTTTCCTACTCCCAAGCCATGGTCAAAGATGAAAGCTCGGGACGAGCTTTACTATGGAATGGACATGTCGAGACGCAGACTAATTAGATGGTCCGACGTCCCCACACCAACTGGGCGGTGTCCAGCAACTCCAGATGAGCTGTGCCTAACCGTGTGACCGGCGGCTTCCCTTCCCCTCTCATTCTATTTATAAATATATAATAAAGATTCTAGTTATAATGTTATGTTCATATAAAGTAAGACAATCAGGGTGAAGGATTCAAGTCAGGAGAGTGCACCTCCTGAACTTGACAAATCTCACCCAACTCAAAATTTTGCAGACAGCACATTCGGCTGCCTCTCCCAAGTATTTCGAGAATATAATGATCCTCCAGTGGATACATCAGCTTCACGTCTTCTGCATGGCACTCTGTCAGCTACTGAGGGCAATCAAATGATCGCAGCTATCTCAAATTGGAACAAAAGCGATGGTGGCCCATCCCATTTTGCTATGACTGCACAAAATCATTTCGATCAGGTTATTTGAGCAGACAAAAATCAGGCTGGTCCCAAAGATTTTCTGATTTAGTTGAATAGCGTAGCTGAAAATGGCTGCACACCACTGATGTGTGCCGTTATCGATGGGAACTGGACAGCTACGGTAGCACTACTATCACTTGGTGCTCAACGAGATGCAGCAGACGCTAACGGGAATACGATATTGCACATGGCAGCAGAAAGGTAAGTTGACAGTGACAAGTTGCTATGTCGTGAATGGTTGATTGGAGTGGGCGTGGCACTTCTGTATCTCCGCCGAGGATGGGCGGTAACTTCATCGATTGGCTCGCGGCGAGTGGATGGTACAGTCTGCCCCAATCGGGATCAGGCCGAACCATCGGATGAATTTGCGCGCTCGCAGCGCTGGGGTTGCGCTGCATATGCGCGCTGTCGCAGAGAGCGAAGAGATTGAGGAGAGAGCAGACTAGCTAGACGCAGAAGTGGCGCGAAATCCTCGCGACCCGCACTCCCGCCAAGCCAATTTTGGCCTGGTTAGGATTGGGGCAGACTGTAGGCCTCTCTCTGCGCGGACATCTGCCATAGCTCGTGCATCGTAACGCATTATAGCCCGTATCAGTCAACCATATAGGCGGGAATCATAACATAGGCAAGACATCATTAGACGTGCTACCTTTTCGGCCCACTAGCGGCTAATTACACTATTCTGCGCTTCAGAATCCTTTCTGCTTGAATTTTTTCTATTACAGAGGCCATGTGATGATTTTGGAAGGCTTGTTGATGTTCCTCGGTAGCGAAGTGAACAGACCAAACTCGGATGGCGATACCCCTATGCACCTGGCCGCTAGAGGACAGCATGCTGCCTGTCTGGATCGACTTTTGAATACAAATCACCTTCACAGCAATATACAGGTGTCAGAGGATGATTACAGTAATCTACCGTAATCAGCTTACAAAGGCTTTCAGAACGCCAGCGGTGATAGTCCAATGCACATCGTATGTGCTCTACCCGAATCACCAACAAAAATCGCAATGGTTGGACGATTGCTGGCAAATGCTAGGCTTAATCTTCATCTATACAATGAAGATGAGCTTACTCCTGTTCATATTGCTATATCCAAGGATTACTACAAGTTTGTGACTTCATATTACCTTTCTAAAATTCTAGCGAAAAACACGAAATTCCTAGAACTATGGAACTGATTATGCAATCGAGACCACAACAGCTTAACGCGGATACCGGAAATGGATTTCCACCATTATTGTTGGCAGCTTTTTACGGGCGAAGAAGGTGTACAGAATCACTGATTGAGGTATAATGTTGTAACAGGGAAACTAAGATCGAAAACGGGGTCCTAAGCTTGCCCGTGATGTGTATAACGAGATTCAAATTTACCGTCCACTAAAATTACAACTTTGTACTTTCTAATTTTACGGCGTGAAAGCAGAACAGGACGGTTTTGGGATACTCATTATAAAAATTATCAGTATGCCCAATATGCACGCATAAAATTATGCTACCCCTTGACCTAATTGGCTTGGCGGTTGGAAGGCGGGGCTTCGTGACCCAATTAAGGCTAGGTAATGATCAAAGAGCATGCACGCGGGAGAGACGCGGCTGTGTCGCGGACGCGAGCGGCCTTAGTTAGGTCACAAGCCCCCCCCCCCCCCCCCCGCAGCCGCCAAGCAGTTGATTCAAAGGTTGTATCGGACCTTTTAGAATCTAAATGTTTCAGCTCAACGCGGATGTCAATCGTTTCTCAAAACTCGGCCGAACAGCGCTTCATTTGGCCTTGGAAACATGGCAAGGATCCGTAGACAAGGATATGGACAGACTAGCTTGCGTGCAGGTATGTTTTAATTTTTATTTTCATATTATACAGTCAAGGTGTGCCAATATGGAAAAAAAACATACAAACAAACAAAGCCAAACATTAATAATGAAAAGCAACTCATACCAATTCCGAAGGGACAACGGAGCAGTCCAATAGGAGTGGTTGGACGCAGTATAGAAACATCCCAAGCTATAGTACTTTCTGCTTTAGAATAGCTAGGGTGCTAGCAAAAGGTTTGCAGATAAAAATAGTACTGATCAACTTGAATTCCAATCTTGCTGCCTATGAAAACTTCCAGTTATCCCTTTTTGGGTGCCAACGAGCCTGTGGGCGGAAGCTAGCTGGCGAAAACCAATAAAAAAAGGGTTTCAAGAAGTCAGCAAGATATCTTTAAGTATAAAGATATGCTTGGCAATGATAATCTCCAAACAGGGAGGTATGACCTTGTTTAGGAGAAAAATGGGGGGATTACTCGAGTTCAATACTAGTGGGTATTTGGAGGCTGTGATAAGGTTCCCTGGGAAATAGTATGAGTTGAACATTTGTATAGTTAGTAACAGTGCGGAAGTAGTTTGAATAAGATGAACGATCCTCTTGAGCAGAAGCTGGTTCTTTGAGAGTAATAAATAACAAGTAATTGGGGGTAGAACACGAACTGCAAGACGCCGGGATTGTTAGATGCCACATTGAACTCAAATCAGGAAGGACTATGTCTCACTAGAAAGGTAGAAAAGTTGAAAAGCGTAAGTGAACAAGCGATACCTAAAAATCATCCATTTTTATTAGACGTATACATTGAGACCTTCTAATTTCCTTCGAAATATGTAAGAGTTTTCGCTACTGATTACTTCTATGGGCAGTAAAGCAAGCCATCTAGTTGTACGACAAAAGAAAGAGTTAAAAGCAGTTGAAAACAATTTTTTACCAAGCTTACGATAGGAAAAATGAAACCCACCCGTGCGTTGGTTGCCAGGCTTGGAAATCCAATATTTAATCGGTCTAATTTTGGTTTCTAGGCGCAAAATACGGAAGCACAAGACTAAGTCACTGACTACTCGCCTATATTTCAAACTCTGAAGCTTCAATTTTTTTAGGCGAAAGCAATAGGATGATAATGGCTGTGGATAGCCTGCATCAGGAAAGCATCTATAGAAGACAATTCTTAAGAATGCTTTTTGTAATTTCCATGTTCCGTAATCATTAAACCTGGCCATGATCGTAAGTGTCGAATATTGTTGTGCCGAACAGGTTGTTAGGTGGTCCTTTTATTGTCAGTACTCTTCGACCTTACGTTTCAACGCTTTCGTCTTCATCAGAGGCCTGGAATGGTTCAAAGCTTCATCCGCAACTCCAGCCCATCAAACGTCTCTACCAGCCCTTGCCAGTTTTCGGCGCTTCCCCCAATCTAGTGCTGTAAAAATTGTGATGGCAAAAGACATACCAGGGAACCACCGCTTCGTTAGATGTCCGTGCCGGATGTAGATGTTCGTGACGGACGACTGAGCTATACTGAGGGATGTCACATAAACAGTTATAGCTCACATAATGATAAAAACGGAAGGAAATCAGCGGTTATGGATAAGCACTCGTTTTTGTTGTTCATTTCTGGATTCTTTGCAGAAATCCAGAACGATTCTAAGGCTTCCTAGCCGAGATCTCTTTTTCAAGTTAGAATTGTGACTTTGATATCAAAGTCATCTCCGCCATGCAATTCGTGCCTATGTCTGCCTAGCGGCGAAGCCAAGTTCTTACGCCTTTTGTCTGACAAATGCTCTTGGATGCGAATGCCGAGTGTTCTTCCTGTTTCCCCAATATAGCGTGCATTACATTTCAAACATTCAAGCTGATACACCACTCCCATCTTTGCGCAGTCACCCATTCTGCCGTGCGGGCATATCATGCATTGCTCCGTATTGCAGTATTGATCGTAGCGCCTGTTACGTACGAGCTGTTTTTTGATATTATCATTGGGAACGTTCACTAACATAATATCATCTTGCAGCTGCGCACGAACGATGCATTTCTGTATGGCCGCGCTGATCTTATCAGAAATGAATGGCAAGCACAGTGGAAGTTTGTCATCAGCCTGAATGTTGTTGCCATTTCTCCGATGGTGAATGTGCGGTGAAGAATGGTAACCGTTACTGCAAGCTATTTTGTAGCCTCCAGGCGCCCGGCCTAGGTTTTTTGCCACACTATAAGCCTTGAACCCAACCTACGGGATGTACGAATCACCATATCTCGTGTTTCGGTTCTGAGATGTCTAGTTCGTTCCTCAATAATTCTTCAATAGTTCTTCAATAGTTCCTCAACAGCTTCTCGACAGTCACCTATTCACTGTTCTGTATTAGCTCTTCTGTACTACTCTTATTCTCTGTAATTGTATATCAGCTTCTTATTGTGGTTTGTCATATTTTGTGATAAACCATTTATATTTTACCAGTTGTTCTGCTAAGTCAGTGGAACCTGCGGTCTAGACCGTCCTACCGCCACTATTTGGGTAGCCAGTCTTCGTGACTCGCATCGCTCCTCTTCTCCGTTGCACATCTGCATCGCGGTTCTAAACATATTACCAATGACAGCACGCTTTATAGAAGCGGGATGTGCAGATTTTACGTTGATGAGGATATTTTTGGAGCTTTCCTTGCGATACCATTTGACTCTTACAATGCCAGCGGTCACCTTTACTTGAGCATTGAGATAAGGCAGCCATCCATCGCGAGGTATCTCACGTGTGAGCTTGATGCACTGTGATTGCTGGTTAAGAATTCTGAAACACTCGTCCATCTTGGGCTGCGTTGAAGTTGCGACACAGCAATCATCGATGTAACGACAGTACATCAGTGGCATACGTGCTAGGACTGGCTCTTCAATTCTGCTCATAAAGCATATGGCGAGAATTGGTGCTAGCCTTTGGCCCATAGCTAATCTACGTATCTGGGAGTAATAAGTCCCAGACCATCTGAAGATGTTGCATTTTAGACATTCTTTCACTAGGGCCATCGTATGCGCTTTGCTAAGTCCAAACTTGTTCATTGTATCAGCATACCTATCCAACATTTCCGATAACGCTTGCAGAGCCTGGTCATTCTGCACATTGGTGTAAAGAGACGTTACATCAAACGACTCAATCACCGTGCTCGAATCAAACTTAGCGTTTCGAAGCTGTTCCACAAACTCGTGTGCATTGGATAAGTGTGCTGGTACCTTCATTAGCAGCTGGCTCACGATCTTATTTAGGTACCATGAAATCCTATCGGTGGGGCCGCCTACGCAACTGATAATTGGTCTAATTTTGTAAGTTGCCGCTGACATTGAGTTCATTTCGTGCTCGGAAAGCTTATGGGTCTTCAAAAGGCTGTAAAAAACTGGACATGATGGATTTGTCACTTTCAATCTGCTTATGAGACTATCAGCAAGTCCGGCAGATTTGGCAATCGTAGTCCATGCGTCACTAAGTTTTTTACATTGGGCTCGATATTCTTTTTCAGAGACCACTGCATACGCTGTAGCGTCTGCGAGGTGGGCTGCAGTTATTTTACGATCCAGTTCCTGCGGCATTATTACAAGTTCGCCTCTCTTGTCGCTTACTGGTAGACGTACAGAACCATTCGAGATAAGTTCACGGATCTCCTTGAAACTTTGCCACTGATTTCGTGAAAGGTTGCTCTGGCGCTCTCGTTCTGACTTGGTCAAGACTTCTAAGACACCAGAGCATAAGAGCCGGAACTTCATGTCTACACAAAAATTTGGTTCAGGTTGTCTATAGAAGTACGACGGGAATGGGATCGTCAGTAAAGTTCTTTGTTCGTTAGCAACAGAATGACGTTGAACACTCGCGCGATTGGCTTTCAATCGAAGTAAATCCCTAAGCTTGTGCAAACCTCCTACTACCTTTCGGTAGAGTCCAGCCTTGATCTTCTGTGCAGGGGAGAACGAAGGACCTAGGCTAAGAAGCTCAATGATATTTAAAGACACTTGAGCGTTTCCAACAACCGTGACCCTTCCCGTTTTTTCATTGCATGATGAGAGATGTTCGGGGCGGTGATAGGCACTGGAGCTTTTGTCAAGCAAACAATTTTTATGGCATTCGTTCGAGAGTCGGTCGCACTTTGCAATGAGCCTAGTTTTAACATTAGACCGGATCGAATCACAGATTGACTTCGAACCATCCTTAATTTTCCTCCAAGTCTGACTGGGCAAGAGACGTTCACAAGCCTTCTCTTTACAATTCAATAGGATAAAGTACAACATTCTGCTTTTCTCGACAATGATAACGTTCAAAATAGAATGATAAATCTTCTTGATTTTCGCATCATTCTCACGAGACAGCAGGTTTATCCTATTTTCTTTTATGTCTCTTGCATCGTTGGAGGAACAGTAAGGACTGGCGAATAGCTACCGCTTTTTGCCGAAGCGATAGCGCTTCTCGTGTCAGTCGGAACAGATGCGGCGGTACGTTTTCTAGTAATTTCCATGTTCCGTAATCATTAAACCTGGGCATGATCATAAGTGTCGAATATTGTTGTGCCGAACAGGTTGTTAGGTGGTCCTTTTATTGTCAGTACTCTTCGGCCTTACGTTTCGACGCTTTCATCTTCATCAGAGGCCTGGAATGGTTCAATGAAAGCTTCATCCGTAACTCCAGCCCATCAAACGTCTCTACCAGCCCTTGCCAGTTTTCGGCGCTTCCCCCAATCTAGTGCTGTAAGAATTGTGATGGCAAAAGACATACCAGGGAACCACCGCTTCGTTAGATGTCCGTGCCGGATGTAGATGTTCGTGACGGACGACTGAGCTATACTGAGGGATGTCACATAAACAGTTATAGCTCACATAATGATAAAAAGAAGGAAATCAGCGGTTATGGATAAGCACTCGTTTTTGTTGTTCATTTCTGGATTCTTTGCAGAAATCCAGAACATTCTAAGGCTTCCTAGCCGAGATCTCTTTTTCAAGTGTTAGAATTGTGACTTTGATATCAAAGTCATCTCCACCATGCAATTCGTGCCTATGTCTGCCAAGCGGCGAAGCCAAGTTCTTACGCCTTTTGTCTGACAAATGCTCTTTGATGCGAATGCCGAGTGTTCTTCCTGTTTCCCTGGTATGTCTTTTGCCATCACAATTTTTATAGCACTAGATTGGGGGAAGCGCCGAAAACTGGCAAGGGCTGGTAGAGACGTTTGATGGGCTGGAGTTACGGATGAAGCTTTGAACCATTCCAGGCCTCTGATGAAGACGAAAGCGTCGAAACGTAAGGCCGAAGAGTACTGACAATAAAAGGACCACCTAACAACCTGTTTGGCACAACAATATCCGATACAATGTTTTTTGTATTTTCTCAATCTTCTCAATGTGTTTATTCCAAAAAGGGTTCCCAATGGGAGATGCATATTCCAGATGAGGCAATACACAGCTTTTATACAGTCGCACAAACAATTCTGGATCATTGCTATGAATATTTCTGGAAATCTTGAATAGGACAGAGGATGATTCTTTGATGATAGAATCAAAATGTGAAGTGAATTTAAGTGAACTATCTATCAAGATACCCAAATCTCTCACAAGAATATATGACTCAAGATTGACACCGTTATAGCTGTACCTGCGACAGGGAGAGTGACCCAAATGCAACACCGTTGTTTAGAAATGTTTATAGGAAGGTTCCAATCTTGTGACCACATTGTAATTCGATGTATTGCTGAAGAAAGCGCTTCAAAAGCTTCCTCTTGCTGGCTATCATTATAAGTTCTTGATTAGTTGCGCACTAGGCAATTGAGTGTTTTCTAGGCCCTAGTTCAAGCCGGCTGCCCTCTAAACGCTCAAGATTGTGACGGTCAGACTGCGCTACATCTCCTAGTCAGGGAACTGAACCGTTTAACGCAAACTTCGCGTGAATGTAACGTTGGCGATCTGCCAAACAGTGTTTTCTTTACGATAAACACCTGCAGTGATCTGATAAATATGGTAAGGAAAACAACTATTTCAACAATTTCAAGTGAGACAAGTCTTCCTTATAGAATCTTCACGACATCGCAAGTCGAGTGCGTCCACATTGGCAGCTGGCTTGCCTCTGCTATCTGGCTGCATGTGGAGCAGACATTACCTTAACGTAGGTCTTAGTATGCCTGAGATTCCCCGGGAGGGGGAGGGGGGGGGAGGAAAGGGGCTAAAATAACACACTCTAAGGGCCGCATGCACTAATATCCCCGCGGGGAGGGGATCACAGCTCCAGAAGAAAGCTTCATATCCCGAAGCTCCGGATATCTGGATTTCACGCTGTCTACCTATCCGTAAGTATTCCTACTACCCTTCACTATGAACATGTTGAACAGGAGCGAGAAGCTGTACAAACCGCAATTTCCAGCTTTTGTATGATCCCTGATGATCCCCGGCGCTTTTCTTTAAAGTCATTTTTCTTTCTCCGAAGTTAACGAAAGCCTTCCAAAGTTGTACTGAACAACTAACACAATACTGCTAAGCATGTTGCTGATGAGAACAAATGAATTTTTGAAAAGTCGAATTTTTCGGTAAGCCTCAAATTTCGACCTGTGGATCATCGCAAATTTCATGACTTCAAAACATCATTTGTTCTTAGCAGCAACCTGCTTAGCACTGTCGGGTTAGACAATATGCACAACTCTGGAGATTCTTCGTTAACTTCGGAGAAAGAAAAATGACTTTGAAGAAAAGCGCCAGGGATCATCAGGGATCATACAAAAGCTAGAAAATGCGGTTTGTACAGCTTCTCGCTCCTGTTCAACATGTTCATAGTGAAGGGTAATAGGAATACTTACGGATAGGTACACAATGTGAAATCCAGGTATCTGGAGTTTCGAAATATAAAGCTTTCTTTTAAGCTGCGATCCCCTCCCCGCGGGGATGTTAGTGCATGCGGCCCTAAGTTGCGATAACCAGATGCTTCAATTTACAGTGATAGACTTGGAGTATCCGTTCTCGATGGATGTTTGGATGAGCGAATTCGCGATTTGATTACAGACATTGCCGAGAAGAGGCCCAGGTGATTTAACTTATATGTCTTCAAAGGCCCAAACAAACTACTTATTTGCCCGTCGTATAGGCCTTCACAGATTCTAGCCATGAATTTTCTCAGTCTTTCCCATCTAACAGCCTTTTTATGAAAAATGATGAGGATTTCTCTGGCTAACGTAGCTCTTAGTAACTATAATTCATAGAAGAAATTACAAAAACAAAATTTCATAGAAAATTTTCGACCTAATGAGGGCGAACCATACCTGGATATGTACGGCTTCCTTTTCAGATGCGCCCAAAATAGCACACTCTTTTATAATTTTCCGAAAGTACTTAAAATTTTGAAAGAGATATATTAGATAGTTGCACATGAGTTGTTCAGTCCTTCATTCTGAATCCGATTAAAAAAATTGAAGAACAAAATTCCTTAAAACTGCAATTAGAAGCGCAAATTTTCGCTCAACTTGTTGATTTTTTAAGGCTTGCAAATTAGGGTTTGAAATGTATATTAGGTTGTTGCATAGGTTCTGTCCGATTTTTTTGCCTCATGTTTGAAGCAGCTGTTTTAAGAGAAGTTCTTCTCTGATGCAATATTGTTGGTATCATTGAAAAGTGCTTTTCTTGCGCTTTCTAACGCATATAAGATTTTAATAAATTTCTTAGTGTACGGAGACTTCAGGCCTAAATTCCCTAGATGGCCGAGGTACGTTCTCACCCTAGAAATATGTTCTTGCGAGGAAATCTCCACAATGCGCCCTTCAAGTCAAGTTCTTTTATTGGCTGCGTAATAAGGGTATAGAATGCTAGTATATGCAGAAGTTCGGTTCCATGAAAAAAACGTCTTGTTAGTAAAATTTATCGTCGAACATTAATCTTTAATATAGATGTTTTGCAAACAATGACTTTCTGCGAATAGAAGTAATCGATGAGTTCAAGTTGGAGGTGGTAGGGTAAAGCAAGAGCTAGTAGGGCCCATCCACCAATTCCTTTTCGGCGCTCACGTCAATTGTAAAATGTTCATACTTCATAAATAGGCATGCACACATGCGCTGAAGCAAGGTCAAAGAGTGGCTAATTTTTTGTTCGGTCAAAAAAATCTCTCGGCAGCGCAGACCCTATGGGCTCTTTTCATGTTGCATAATAATCTACGAAAATTTCTCTATCTATCCTTTGTTAAAAAAATGCCTATCAATTCTCATAAGGAAGCGTTACCATGTCAAAAAAGACAGACTCGAAGAAAAACGCTGTGAAGTTTTTGCATTCTTGCTTCCTTAACAAGGATTTGCGTAGGTCTCGATATGCGTTTCATAGCCAGGGAACTGCTCAATGCATAGAAACTAAGATCTTGGAAAAAAGTTGACTCTGAAAGAAGTTATGACATCTTGAATTCAAAAAATTCAAATCGGACAGAACTTATGCAACAACTTAATACTCGTGTAGATTTGCAGTAAGTATAGTGCCGTTATGGTACCAAGAAAATGCGATGAAATTTGCGCTTGAACAAGTAGCTACGCCTTAATGCCGGCAGTTTGCGCGCGCACATCACCGGCGCCGCACCGACGCATACGGTATGTTACAGTACCTGACTGCAGTGCAGGGGAAGGGGGGAAGCATTGATTGCAAGCAAAGTGAGTTGTTTGAACACCACTGACAAGTCAGTAAGCTTATCAAACACTATCAGTTTTTAAATCCCCTTCTCATCCCATAAATACATCAGAAATGAAAAGTAGGTTGCATTTCCCCCTGGTGGCTCATGCCTGGACGTGTGCGGAGGTCATTTATGGTTAACCCATTCTCTCCGTCGATGCTGTTCACAAGATTACTTCAGGTCATGCCTCCCTATGACAAAAGCCACATTCGTCGAGTTTGATCCTTCTGGAGTCACTATGTGCACATTCAACTGTGAGGACTCTCAAGCTGACGTCTGCTTTGTCCCATGTGGGCATCGAGTCGTTTGCAAGGAATGCGCAAGAAATACTCCACTCAGAAGGTGTCCATTGTGCTACCAGTTGATTGCAAAAGCTATCTCAGGTGATCTTGAACATTCTTTCCCTCATATTCTCCTAATGATGACAGGTTTATAGACGGTGTAGAAATCCAGATTGGATCCGCATTGCAGAAGAATACTACCGTTTCTGAAGAAGAGCAACATCATATCTTGGCTGAGGAAGAGATTGAAAGAATAACGGCAGCAGCAGCCAAGCAGGCGAAACTGGATGCTGAGAAAGGTGATTGGACAATATGATGTGACTTAAATTGAAAAATATGAAAATTTTAGAAAAACTGCACGAGCTGGAAGAACTGCGCGAAAAGCTGGCCCAGTTAGAAATGGAAACTTCATGCACTATATGCATGGATGCAAGGCCTAGTGTACGACAAACTTGTTACTTCGAGATTATCAAGTGAAATGTGAATTCTAGATCGTCTTCAATTGCGGACATACAGCATGTTCGGATTGCACTCCATTGCTGAAGTCTTGCCATATCTGCCGTCAACCAATCACCAAAAAACAAACGCTCTATGCGTAGATTCAAGTTTTTTTCCCATTATCTCTTGCATCCAACAGTATTTCTGGTCCAAGCGTTCAATAAAAATTTGATAAAGTTTTCAGTCGGTGTTGATTTATGTTTTGCGATGTTATCGCTTAGAAGAGTGAAGCCTATTAGACTTGGAGCTTGGGTTTGTCAAGACAAATTTAGAATATAAACAGTCTAGGGGAAGCGAAAGCAGGATCAATGGCACTGCTTGAAAGGGGCGATTGTGACAAGACTTCTCAGACTGCGGAGGCAGAATTGTAAAGAGTCTGGTGAGAAGAAGTACAGTCTCGGCAAACGTAGTACGGGGAATGCGCGACCTGACATGGTTTTTCCGTGCCTACTGCTAGTAAGTGAAGTCGAAAGGAGGGTGCCAAAGTGAAGCTGGCTCTGATTTGGACGCTTTTCGCTGCACGGGCCTACTGGAAATTGGATACGATTGCTCAGAAGGCCAAACTGACTCTTATCCTACTGCGAACAACTCACAAGAACTCGTGGAAGCGTCGGCGACTTCATATCGTTTAGAATTAGCTGGCTTCCCCGGTCCTGCACGGGGCACGGCCTTGAAGGCAGCGGCTTGGCAGGATGACAACTTCGGGATATTCATCATTTTTGACTCTCTCGGATGAGCTGAATCCGAATCTGTGCTTTGCAGCTTCTAAAGATATTAATAAGTCGCTCTCGGACTGAAAGTACGGTTTGGGCGGGTCGCGAAAGTGGCTGCTGGGTCCAATAATCCAACTGCCATCGAGACCGAGATGGATACGTGTTTCCACTCACGAGCCACTCGTGCTCTGGAAGGCAGGCTTACGCGTCTGCCTAATAGCACTTTTCACGTTTGGAGAAGCGGGTTGTTGATATCTTTTGAAGCTGCAAAGCACAGTCTTGGACATGGTAGCTCGTCCAAGGGATCCGAGTACGATGAAAATCCCATAGTTGTCATTTTGCTGAGCCACCTTCAATTCCGGCACGGGGTCGTATGCGGCCGTGAATCATGAAAAGGAGAGCTATCATCTTCTCCCCAACCACACGTAGAAGATCCGGCTTTCTTGTCTCTTCTGCTTCAGAGCCCTCCTCCTCCCTCCATCTGCTGTGCTGCACTGCCGCACGGATTCCTGTGCCAGCATAAACTCGACTCGCTTTGAAACATAACATCCTTCCCTCGGTGAAATTAAGAGCTTTACTATTATTTTCGCGTGAAATAGTGGAAATAATTTGTTAGCGGCTCATAATAATCCATTTTCAGTGAAGCGTAGAAAATCAGTAAATCTGATAGAAGGGTGCAGCAAATCGGTTGAAAAAGTCCCCGATAATGCGAAAGGTAGCGCTTCGATCTCCCCTTACAGCTCCCTTTTCGGACTCCGCTTATAGTAGGTTTCAACTCTGGAAGTTGGACTGACGGGAGTCCGCTTTGCAACGATTCGCGCCGCTTTGCAGTCGGCGTCTCTTCATTCTATATCTCGCTGAGTCAGTGGCGGTGCGGACGCGCTGCTCCACTTCGAATGTTTCGCCTACTCCGGGTTGAAAAAAATTGTACCTTGCGATTTCCCTTCTGGTCAGAGCGCGCATGCAGCAATGCCATAAGCGTAAGGGTCCGCAACGACTCAACGTCTTCGAAATGGCGACTTTGCGTCCACTCGTCTATGTATGAAACTAATAGAGGTTTCGGAAAATGCTCGTTCTAGCCACTTTCGCTTTCCAAGGTGGGTACCCGAAATTAGCGCAGTGGATTACTCCAGGTAAGCGAGATGCATTTGAGGGCTTACTTTAAGCGGCATGGAACAGGCGATACACTATACATTACACATTTTGTAATAATATAACAGCCGAGGTAAAGGCTAGTTCGACGAAGGCAGTGGGTCATGAAGCGGACGCAAGCGTGTAATAAAATTTTGTTATTGAACAAAAGAGTGCTTTCTTCGTGAGTTATTTCTTGAAAATTTAGCTTGAGCTGAGTGTTGCTCTTCGGTAATGCACCTTCGGCAAGAGGAGTTTGAAAGCTGTAACACTTCTACGATACGTTGCTAAAAACTCGCATTGCCGAAGTATAGTGGACATGCCTAAGGCTTCTTTTTGGCGGAACAACAAGCTCCAGAATGTTCTTGAAATACATTTTGAAATGCTTTGAAACGTTTATTGCAGAAGCGGATCGGGTTTTACAGTACGACGAAAGTCTTTCTAGGTCCACTCTCACGCTGTAAATTCGTCTATCTGGAAAAGATCTGCAGGGTAGAAGTAGCCACTACATGCCTGTGCGATACTCCAACTCGAGTTTGGTTGCTCTATAGCGGGTGTAGAGTATGACGGGAATGATGCTGTTGGACGAGTAGATAACCTTTCCTTTGTTTTCACTGGAGTCACAGAATCTGGAATATATGGATACATGGAGACAAGGATCTGCACTTAGGCGCATGTGCGCAAACCTGTAGCCACTCATGTTCTGATTTTCTTGTGATTTGATTTCAATTCCTCCGTAAGTGCAAGCAACATTAACATACCCGACTGTGAGGCTTTTGATTGTTAATTTGGTTCTCTTATTTACCGGAGTCTTAATTTTTCCAAATAAATTGGTTCTGAGAGGCTTTGTTCGACTTTGCAAACCTGGATCCAGTAGACGCATTGCTTAAAGTCATCTAGTGTTGCATAATTTTTATTGTCTCCCAAAGATTGGTTAATTATGTTTGTTTCAGGCACAGCCTTAACTATATTACCGCAAGTCGCCGCTTGTGGCTGAAAAAAAAAGACTGGATTTTTACTTACTTTTCTCATCAACTTACTCTTGCATTGCATAAAACACCACCGTATCCACGTGGACAGATGCATTTGAAGCAATCTCGAGGATTTGGGTAGCCACCGTTCCTGCATTTTGCAGCGGAGCTATCAGACTTGCACTTCTCTGTGTTATAATATACTCATTTTCATTGTGTGCTTGCATCGGTTGTTGAGCGTAACCACAGTGGGACAAAATTTGGTTCTCGTGCCCGCATTGCCAGTATAGAAGGATAAATCAGTGGTGTCGAGTGAGTACGAGTCTCTCTCGGGGATACCTTATATCGTGATGGTGTCCTTTGTAACACATAGGACTACAACTACGTAAACAAATATATGAAATGATGCTAAGATAATGCTAACGGTAATTCTTCTCCATTATTCATGTATCCTGTATAAAAATGTGCAGATGTTCTATTCATGTTCACAAAAAGAGCTTATCAGATTTTGTTCATTATTGCTTTTGGACCTTATTGCTGTTGTTGATGGAGTCCGGGAGACAAGCTACTGAAATGCTTCCGACTCACCAAGGCATCCGTAGTGTGTGTTCATAAGAAGAATGTCATAAAAAGACATAAAAGGTGAACCCATTGAGTGGAGGTAATTTTTATCGTTAGGAATCATCGATGGCATGGACGAGTCTTTAGCAAAACTGAAAATTGAACTTCTTTCGTTCAACGATATTTATGACGATGCGCCTACTCGTATGCTCCGTAGTGCATTCTGCTACCAAAGTCATAAGGGATGTTATAAGTACTAAATTCGCTTTTTTCTGTCTTAGCAAAGTTATGCAATTTGTCTTCCTTAAAGAATAACTTTTAAAATCTTTTTCTCTGATGACTACTATGGCAAAACTTACAGGGATGTTTTTCACATCAACCTTGAGATAATTGTCGCGGTCGTATCTCGTTTGAACATGATGCAAACCCAATGCGTGAGCAAGCTCGTGCGAAGCTTTCCAGTACTAAGAAAATATTGAGGGTAGCGCGGTACATGATCAAGATTTACTCAGAAAAAAGTTACAGACACAGAGAAAGAGAGGTGGGAAAAATCAGAAACCTCCACATTACTTAGCAGTTCGTCTTGCTGCATCGCTTACTGCTACTTTTAAATTGAAACATTTTCTTTTACCAGCTGCGTCATGCTACTGATCTTTCCAGGCTGCTCTATAATCTCAAAAAAAAACATACCATTGTACATCCGGGATTGTTTAGAGAAAGATTTTGCAATCGATTCAAGTGTCCGAGGTTAGAGCTGCATCCCGTACCTTCATAGATTGCTACTCGTGCACTAGCTAAATGCAACAATTTTTACTTATGGTTAGGATCTTTCTCGCTGATGCCAACACACCGCTGCTTTTTTCAATCATGTCAATACATGTGTTGTCGTGCCAAAATTTTGCACCTTTTCGAGCAATAGCCTTTGTTGCAGCACCTGAAAGCTTCGGGGTACCCATTCACGGCAAACGCATGTTGAAGACAATGCAATACACGTACTTGTGTTAGGATAAAAGGAGAAGTATAAGCGATTATTAGGCCATTTATAGCTTTTCGGAACATATGCTTGTCTTCGTTCTCGCTCTTCACTCTGTTCTTGTATCAACTCTTCGGCTTGCTCTCTGTAAAATTTTGCTGCAGTAGCTTTGCGCTACTTGGCTAATGATCATTACTCAGTCAAAACTATATCTCCTTGATAAAGAATCTCCGACAATCCGCTTTCCTCGTTTACTTCTGTAATCGTGTCACTTTTGGCCACCTTAGCCGGTCTTATCGACTGAAAAAGAACTTTTAACAGAGTTCAGCGTTTTGAAGAGCGTTACCTTGAGTTTCTGATCCAATAGAGTTTGCTGTTGAGGGTTAAGCTTTGGCACCTTAAGATGACTTGCAAGCCTATTACGAATTGCCATTAAACGATCCACATCTAGGTGCTGAAATTGTTTCTTATGTTTCGACATTACGTCTGTTGCATTCTCACCGCCTCCAGTTTAGAAAGTGTCTTTTTGAGCTTTCTCACTTTTTCCCAGTTGAGCAAACTGGCGTTCACGCAAGCGACTAGAAGTAGGAGGCAGAGTGTCCTCATCCTGAAAAAATAAGTTATTAGACAAATGGAGGGAGTCACAGGAGATGTAACGTTTCTGGCTTGCATGAAACTGCTCGCACTTTTATGCGCACGATGATGATGCAGATGTAGAGCATATGACTTGTGGAGGGCAGAAGCAGCTATGGAAATACCCGAGATTTTTCATGCCTTCAAACATTCTGCGAAAGATCACGTTCAGGAGCCCCATGTATGTGAAGCTGCGAAAACACAGAACGACCACTTGACTTTGATTTCCTTTTGCAGAGGGATTGTTTTTATCAGCTACATGCCTATCTTGGGAACATTATCCAAACTGCAAGCTTATGTCCAGGTATTCTAAGTAGAGAAAAGTGCTTATCTATAACGAAATGTTAGCGTTATGTCACTATGTAGCTGCCACATCAGGTACTACGTAGTGTAATTTATGCGGGCTTATTGTTGACCTGCCAACAAAACAGTCACGCTGTCAACATCTTCCTCAATCTTGCTGAGATCCACCAGGAAGATCCCAGTAGAATGACTATTTGCTGGATCTACTCCATAAACGTGCGTCTGCGATTTCCACTGTTTACCCGAAAGAAAGAAACTGATTGTGAGTGCAAAACCGTCTTGCTCATGGATGCGAGGACGTGTGCTTTTAATCATGAATGAAGTGAATCAACCAGTTATCAGGCTCATCTTGAACAGCTCCGGTATCATCTCCGAGCAAAATGTTAGGTATTGTCGCGGCGTCTTGAATATATTTTTGGCAACGGCTTCTATCTTTCCAGTACACATGCACGCTGTAACTGCGTGCGATCCCGTAATTTGTGAAAGTATGCTATGAGACAGTGCTCAGCAGAGGTGGCGCTTTCACACGCTGGATGTCGTTTCCTTAGAAAAAAGCAATGGGAAACTCGTAGAGTTTCCAGGAGTGGTTCGCAGAAATCTGACTAAGTAATAGTGGGCAAAAGCTAACCTTAAGTAAACCTCCAATCCAACTCTGACGTCCTTTCACAAGTAACAAGTAGATTATCTACAAACAGAATAATGCTCAGACCTGTGTGCACATGATTTCAACGTGTCAGAACACAATTTTTATTCACAAAAATTAAATAATCAGTATGTTTACCCGGTAAGCAAAATTGAGCCACCAACTTTGGTGTGTAGGTTCGCGACCACGATTAGAAGGAAAGTATGAAAAATTATTAAAAAGTTACATGAATGAATAGAGTTGTAAATGTTTTTCTAATTTAGGTTGCTCCCGCGCCACCTGGGAGCACCCTGAGGTTGCGCGGAGCCAAACACAGTCATGATTTTCTCCCTTCTTCAATTCTTCAAAAATTTTTACATTAACTTTCTTCAGTCTAAACTATACCCATGTATATACATACTTATCTTAACCCAAATTTCGTCTCCTCTACTTTGCTACGGCCCTTAATGATATGAAAACGCTTTTTTCCGTTTTGATGTTTCACCTCCGATTTTTCTTGTCTATTCTTGAATTCCATTCATCACCGTTCGCTGCAGGTTCTTAGCCGTATTCTATTAGGTTGTCCGGAAATTAATGCAGGTTTTGAATTCCAACCGCAATGAGTCATACACTTCTCATTTCTAGGTAGGTTTCAAGGTACCGTTCGATAGAGCAAAGCAAGCTCTACCAGATGGCTATCTTGCTTTAGCAATAGCTCTGATCCACAACGTGTTTCGCGCCAAAAACTAAAGACATTCAAGCGTCCGAAAAACTAAAAATCGTAACTCAGTTCATAAGAATCCTATAAAAATTCTAACTTGCTCCCGTAAACACAATCCACATAGAGCATCTATATACGCCGTTGCCGTATTTTTTTCTTTGTTAGAAATCAAGAAAACGGAAATTTTCGTGCATTTGCCAAAGTGATGCTGTGCCGTCCAAACATAGGTAGTTGTATACCACAAGCCTGTAGAAGTACAGACTTAAATTCCCAGCTCTCTACGAGCTTTAGTTCTCGAGAAATGTAAATTTTAGCTTGGACCACATGACTAGGAAAAACTGTATTCGATATTTCTCGAGAACTAAAGCTTGTAGAGAGCTGGAAATTTGAGTCTATACTTCTACAGGCTTGTGGTATACAACTACCTATGTTTGGACGGCACAGCATCACTTTGGCAAATGCACGAAAATTTCCGTTTTCTTGATTTCTAACAGTGAAAAAAATACGGCACCGGCGCATATAGACGCTCTATGTGGATTGTGTTTACGGGAGCAAGTTAGATTTTATAGGATTTTTATGAACTGAGTTACGATTTTTCTCAATTTTTCGGACACTTGAATGTTTTTAGTTTTTGGCGCGAAACTCGTTGTGGATCAGAGCTATTGCTAAAGCAAGATAGCCATCTGGTAGAGCTTACTTTGCTCTATCGAACGGTACCTTGCAACCTACTTAGAAATGAGAAGTGTATGACCTATTGCGGTTGGAATTCAAAACCTGCATTAATTTCCGGACAACCTAATACAAGCACCACAAAAGGTATCTCGTAATCTTCTGCAATGTCAAGGGAGACTCCGTTTTCAAAATTTGCAAACGCCACCTCGTGGTGGGCCCTGCTATGAGAGTAGAAAGTATGTTCAAATAATATTCAATTCTGAAATTTCTTCTTGTTGCCCACATATGCAATGAAATTCGATGAAGCTTCTGCCTACATGAACGGTTTCGCAATCATTATCAAGTAATCTTTGTCCATTCTATTTGAGTTTCATCATAAAATATTGTTGCTAGATTATTATGTATCGTAACATAGTTAGGGACTAAAACAGTCAGCATTGAATCTAAACGATTATGGATTCAAACAATCTGTTGAATGCAAAAAGAAATATACTTGTGCAAATATTAAAGCTGTGCGTTCTGTGATAGATTTCTGGATAAAAATTATATGTAGAAGTTTTCTTCTGCGAGATGGAGCCACCTGTGACAATAGAATAGATTTTGGTCTTTGGAAGTTTAGTCAGTCACGTAAACTCAGCTAAATGCAGTTTGCAAGCCTTTTTGAATATATTAGGTTGCTTCATAATTAATGCACGTTTTGAATTTCAACCGCAATAAGTCATACACTTTTCATTCTTATATAGGCTTCAAAATACCGTTGGATAGAGCAAAGCAAGCTCTACAAGATGGCACTCATGTCTTTGCGCCATGCTCGATCCGCGGAGAGTTCGAGCTCAAAATCTAAAGATTTCCAAATGCCCAAAAAATCGAAAAAAATCAGATCTTCGTCCAAATAATTTCTACGGACCTCCCACTCGCTCACATCAATACTATCGATATCTGATATCCATATGTGCGATTGCCGTATTTTTCCTTGACTAGAAATTGAGAAAACGAAAATTTCCCTGATTTTCTCAAAGCAATGCTGAGCCGTTTTTGCATATGTAGTTCTATACTACTAGCATAGGTAAGCATAACTGTAAATTTTCAGCCTATTTCGAACGGTACTTTTCGAGAAATGTCGATTTTAGCACTGAAACTGCAACGAAAAAATTCGAATTCGTTATTTTTCGAAAACTACCGCTTGGAATGGACTGAAAATCTACAGTTATACTTACCTAGGCTTGTAGTATAGAACTACATATGCAAAAACGGCTCAGCATTGCTTTAAGAAAATCAGGGAAATTTTCGTTATCTCAATTTCTAGTCAAGGGAAAAATACGGCAATCGCACATATGGATATCAGATATCGATAGTATTGATGTGAGCGAGTGGGAGGTCCGTAGAAATTATTTGGACGAAGATCTGATTTTTTTTCGATTTTTTGGGCATTTGGAAATCTTTAGATTTTGAGTTCGAACTCTCCGTGGATCAGGCATGGCGCAAAATCATGTATGCCTTCTTGTAGAGCTTGCTTTACTCTATCCAATGGTACTTTGAAGCCTATATAAGAAAGAAAAGTGTATGACTTATTGCGGTTGAAATTCAAAACGTGCATTAATTATGAACCAACCTAATATTAGGTTGTCCCGAAAGTTTTGTCGGTTTTTTCAAACCACTGTAAAACCACGCACAATAAAGATTTGAGTGAATTTCAACGTGCATTCGATGCAGCTTTTCCTTCTCTTTCTTAAAGGCAGCGTCCCGGCAAAAACTCGATTTTCGGTCTTCTGCGTTTTTAAGGCTTTCTCGGGACGCTGATTACATAGATGAGGCTTGTAGCGCTTCAAAATGGCGAAAAGGTGCTTTTTCCAGAAGCTCTTCAGGGTGGACATGGACGAGTTATACGCTGCGGCGCACACCGTTGTTTGGCGCCTCGTTGTTCAAATATGCGTAATCGATTATGATTCTTTTGGAACTGGGAAAAACAATGACGAGTGAGAGTGCGACAGCAAATGAAACAACAAAGATCTGTCAACAGCAAAGCTTTATGAAAAATTGTAGAAACCGGAAGCTGAGAATTACGGAACATTTGTAGTTTACATCGCCATTCAGCTGCATATCCCTACATACATCGCGCTCCAATTCGAAGCTTGAAAGAATGGAGAATGAGCAACGCTTACTCTGAAAGAGTGCAAGTAAACGTAGAACATTTCGCGTTGCAAAGGTTTGTTCTTGAAAACTCAACTTAGACGGTATTTGAGATTTGCCGCAAGCAAACGAAAACGATACATCGGCTCCCAAATGAGAAACTCGTTGTGCACTGAAGTTTTACAGGACTGATATGCACCAACACAGCGAACTTGCATCACATCTTCCAACCTCATTCCAACATCCCCAGCAGAATAGCAATATAACAATGACATTGGACATCTTGCACATACCATACTATGATAAGCATAGCTTCTTTTTGAGTCTTTCGACGCAAATTACTCTAAAGCTGAAAAAGCAATCACTGAAAATCAATGATATCCACTTTTGCTAGCTTTAGTAGGCTCTTTTTGCTAACTAAGCGTCCGAAACACACCATGTTTGAGCGCATTGTTGTGGAGTGCACTGACCATCTTCTATATATTAACAACTTTCCTAAAAACAGTAGTGAATCAGGTCACACACATTACGTACGCGATGAAAGCGAGAAACATTATTGTTTTAAGTAAAAACATCAGCAATCGTAGACAATCGATTGATGTATTACAAGGCGCCAGGCAACGGTTATGCAAGAGCTGCACAGTTGTAGGCTTTGGGTGTTCAATTAGGCGGTGGACGGAGTCTGGAAAAAGGCGGGGTCCGTAAGACTTCCGAGACGAATTTTAGGTCTCTCACGTGTCCTTTTTTGCTGCGGATTTCACTGTTCGCTTAGTCTGAAGCCCTACCATTGCAACGCAGTGAGATCTAGGTACATCCCAATTTAAGGAGACGCTGCCTTTAAGGATACACTATCATACCAAAAACTTGTATGCTTTTTTTGATAATTGCCAAAATTCTCCACCTGCCAATTTTACCCGCTCAAAGTTGAGCTAATTTTCAAAAATTTCATTACAAAGTTTCGAAAAAGACTAAGTATGGGTCAAATAGAGCAACTCTCGGGCTATAAGCTCATATTTTTAGATTGTCCTAATCTGCTGATTTTAACTTCAAAAAACTATTTCTCCGGAGGCCTTGGTTTTTAGCAAAGTCATGAAACGCGCAATTGCAGCAAAAGCATGAAAGCTTTTGAATTTTTGCGAATTCAAACATGTTTGTTATTTAACATCATTTATGCAACATAACCAAGTTTGATTTGCTTCAAAAATCAGCTTTTTGGAATTTTCGGTAATTTTACGTGATAAAACGTGTTCAAAAAGCCGCGGTTTTTCTCAAATAAATAATTATTGCGGACATTATAAACGTGGCCCACGTAATCCAAAATAGGTGCAATGTAGCCAAAGGTTTGCCCTACATAACAGTCACCAGCGCTCATCGGAAATACCAAGATAAAAATTTTGAAAATTCAGGAAATTTTGGCGCTACTGCTGAGGTGCTCAAAAAGCCATGGCGATAACATCGTAAAGACGGGGTAGATTAGGGAACAAATATAGCTACAAGAAAGAGGATACAAAAATGAATAGAATGACACCTAGGCCGCCCATGGATTGGTGTTCTGTGAGGTTTGGTGAGCGATGAAAAAAACCGACAAAACTTTCGGGATAACCTAATAATAGTTTTTGAATAATTCTATGAGTTACACCGAATGTAAGCACAGAGGACTTCATTCGATGTCATTCCATTTCAACTTATGAGGTTGCAGTCATTTTTCATGTGAAACGTCAAAAGAAACGCCAATAGAACCTTATGCTGCTGTTGGTGACACAGACGTGAACTGGCTGTGGATAGTGAACGATAGGTAATGTCACCTTCATTAAGCAACCAATGACACCAACGACACCAATCGTGTCAAGATTCCTGCCGCAACTTGAGTAATTTACACGTGTGCTGCCACAAAAGGTAATCATGTCTTTACGTAGCTGTTCTCAAAATGCAGATAGCTCTGACATTTGACATTTGCGTCCCTCATCAGCATATGCAGGGATAGGCTGCCGACGTTTAGTGGCAGCATTTTCATCGATGCCTAATCTCTGAAGTGAAAGGTTACTAGATGGGTCTTTAATGGCTTACCACAAAAGGCGTGATTTGCTCAAAGATCTCGGTAAATGCCACAAATAAGTACCCTCGTGTCCCAAACTTATGCTTACAAGATGCAGGTTTTTTTTCTTTTGGAATTGACCAGCAGTATGCCAAAGAATTCGGCGACACAAGACCCTTTATCGTGCTGAGCACTGACTAAGAAAATCTTATGGCATAGTTGTCGTTTCGCAAGACACATGAAGCGACTGAGCTGCTCGCATAAAAAAATAACGAGAAAGTTGCGCTGTGCTCGTAAAATTAGACCAGATGTTGCAAAAACCCTCGTCAGAGGCAGTCACACTGTCAAACTCTGGCTGTCGCGTTTCTTCCCTACGTATTACTCTTCACAGCACAAGACTGCAACAACACCAAAACGTCCGCTTCACCCTTACCATTGAACGAGCCTTCCATGTCCCGTTGTCCTCCTCCGGGCCTCCACAGTAGAGAGAGAAGGGTCAGAATGTTTAGCGAATTTTTTGATAAAGTTGTAAAACTGATCCTGCATTTTCGTAGATATCTTGTTTCTGCGCAAGGTGTTGTCAAACTCAGACAATCGACCGGACCCCTCCGCCGGACAGTCGGAATCTGCCAGAGTCGCGCCGGACCCAGTTGACCAATGAGAGCGGGGCAAATGGGCGGTCCCTTCTTGTAGGTCGCGGTGACATCACTGGCAGGCAAATGGGACGCTTCTCCGGCCCTGCTGCAAAGGTACGCCATTTCTGCTCCGGAGGTACGCCAGATTTGGCAGAGCCGCGCCGGAGAAATTTGCCCTGCGCGAGTCCGCCAGATTTGGAAGAGCCGCGCCGCAGAAAATCGGAGGGGTCCGGAGCACAAATGGGAGGTCTCCGGAGCAGAAAATGGGAGGTATCCAGAGCAGAAAATGGGGGCGGGGGGGGGGGGGCTCCGGAGCAGAAATGGGAGGTCTCCGAAGCAGAAATGGGAGGGCCCCGGAGCACAAATGGGAGGGCTCCGGAGCAGGCTGCGTATCGATTTGGCGCGTAGCAAGCAAATGTCTAACTCCGTGATGAGTCCTCTGTTTACGCTCTTTCTTCATATTTTAGTCGTTGTTTTTTTGATTTTGTTGTTTCTCCGCGTTTCTTACCGTTTTTTTCTTTTCCGCGTTGCTCTTTGTCGCGTTGGCTTTTATGTTGTTGTAAGTTCCTCATTTTCAGGTTTAGATTTCAATTTTTCGTGCGGATGCACTTAGTCACATCTAGTGCTTGGCTCTTTTCGACTTGCTGAGACATCATTGACTATTGATGGAGTGGTTTTTGTGATTAATTCTGGATTTTCTAAACAAAAAGTATATAATCCGAGTGAGTCTACTTTTTTGTTTCGCACTTGTTCATGCTTGAGCTCCACGGCGGATTGCCTGTTCAAGACACGTACTTAAATCTACACATGGCTGCGCAAAGCGCGCCCCATGCCCCAGTGCGAATTTCTCCGGCGCGCAGGATCTTCGCTGTTGGGGCACGCTAGACATTGTGGACTTCTATTCTACGCGTAAATAGGTTATATGAGTGCTGCTTGTCTTCCCTGGAGGTCTTCCACATATTAACACCTCAAATCTAACGTAAGGTGATATTCCGTATATGCTCAGCGCTTTCTCATGGTAATTGAAGGCTCACACTTGCGAAGTAGGGGTCTCTTCTAAGATTTCTCTTCGTTTACGTATTTGAAAAAGGTCCACCTTCCGCATTTACCACAGTTTCTTCATTAAGAAGTTGGAGAGAGTATTCGTAAAAGTTCTTTGACATAGGCGGCTAAAGCTGTATTGCAGGTATTGTTGATTTCTGTCCTTACGACCGAGTCTTTGCCCATAAACGTGTCGTATAGTGCCAGTCAAACGATATGTACTTTCTCATAACTCCTATCCAGCGTTTGATGCAAGTCCAATTGAAGACTAGTGGATAGGAGTTCTAAGCTGGCTTCTAACGAAACCAGCTCAGAACTTCTTTGTTGATTGATTTGTTGAAAGCTATCTTAGAACTTATATCCAGTTCTTTTCGTTAGAAACCAAAAAAGTATTGATGCCTCAGTCCATCCTAATAAAACTTTTCATTTGACTAATGTTTGAAAAAGGCATTGTAGAGAAGCTCTTAATTTTCACTGAAACCTAGGGATCAAGTCTGTACCTAGCGTGCTCCGGCATCGTAAACCATGCGAGCTGGCTAATTTGGCGCCGGGTCATGGGGCGCGCTTTGCGCAGCCATGTGTAAATTTAAGTACGTGTCCTGTTCAAGTGTGTATGTGCGCTCAGAGTCGGCGTCATTCATTACCTAATCTGCTACGTATCTTCCAAGATTCATGGAACGTATAGACTATCGGTATCGGTCGTATTATCAAACCAATCTCACATTCAGGTTACGCGTGTAGAAGAACAGTATTGGGACCATTTGCTGTCACTCTACTTTCTGATACCCTTCTTAAAGTGTACATTGGCTCTCTATCAATTCAATAAAGTAAGTGATGCCAGATTTCCCTTTCTGCTTCTCACTAAACCCTAGTTTTAGTATCCAGCACGAGTTTTTGTTTGTGATAGATTTTGTTATTGGGCAGGGATGACTCTAGCCGTCGTATCAATTCTTGGTCATTTTAGCAAGACCATGATACTGTTCCTTAATCCACAGGTAGAGTCGAGTAGATTTAGCGGTAAATATAGTGTGCTTGCACAAAAGGTGAAATGCGGTGAAATTGGCGCGTGAAGAAATAATTTCGACTGTGACGTCGGCCAATTGCGCGCGCAAGATACCCGCGGTACTGACGTGGCTACTTGTTCACGCGCAAATTTCACCGCATTTCACCTTCTGTGCAAGCACACTATATTTACCGCTAAATCTACTCGGCTGTACTTTACGGCGATCGCTCGTTATTGTTCTCATAGGCCGTGATTCTATTGCGGATTCTGCGAGTTTTGTGCACTTCAGGTATTCAATTTTCTACACTCTTGACCATAACTCTTCAAGCTTGTGCCATGTCCCCGACATCGCTTACCGAAGTTTAATCCGGAAACGAATAAGGCATGTTTAATCTCCACATTCTGTCCTTGTATCCATTTGTTGGTGTTTAGGTTGGCATGAGTATGGCTGAGTTCAAAGAATCGGATCTCAAATTTCTCGGAAATTTTACTCTCAAACTGTTCTCCGCGTTTGGTCTACTTCACAGCAGAAGTTTTGATAGAGATGGGACGAGGCAAGTGCTCGTTATTTTTCTTCGAGAGATGTTCGACTTTCTCTCTAAATAGAGTTGTTTTCAAATATACTCACACGTGTGGGATCTAATGCTAAATCATGCAAAAAGTTTGTGTTCCATCTTTTTCGCAAAAAAAAACTACTCTAAGTTTGCATTTGAAATGATGGCAAACCTGCAATCAAAATTGTCGATATGTGCTTTTGCTATCTCGTGTTCACCAGTTTGGGTCTTCTTTCCTGCATAAAGTTCTTCTTATTAGCAATACTACTACTACGTCTTATGTTATGTCTTGTGTCTGTTGTTACGGCCATAGGTTGCCGGCAACTGTTATCAGTGTTGTCCGTTTTGTAGCCGCTAAGTTTTGTTTTGCAGATTGCAGGAGATTGTTTGTAGTTAATTTGAAATAAATGTCTTGTTTCTTCATTCTTCTATCTTCTATCCACAAACGCTAGGGGTGAGAGGGAGGGGGTAAAGAATGGGGTTGAGAATCGCGCTGAACTCTTACCCGGGGGGGGGGTCGTATTCGGCTAATTTGGAGGGGTCCGGAGCACAATTGGGTGGAGCTTCCTTAGGGCATAAAATGGAGGTATGCCGAGGCAGAAATGCGGGCTGGAATGGGGGGCTCCGGAGCAGAAATGGGAGGTCTCCGGAAGCAGAAAAAGGAGCGCCCTACACAAATGGGGAGGGCTCCGGAGCAGGCTGCGTATCGGATTTGGCGCGTAGCAAACGCTTGCTACGCGCCAAATCGATACGCAGCCTGCTCCGGAGCCCTCCCATTTGTGCTCCGGGGCCCTCCCATTTCTGCTTCGGAGACCTCCCATTTCTGCTCCGGAGCCCCCCCCCCCCCGCCCCCATTTTCTGCTCTGGATACCTCCCATTTTCTGCTCCGGAGACCTCCCATTTGTGCTCCGGACCCCTCCGATTTTCTGCGGCGCGGCTCTTCCAAATCTGGCGGACTCGCGCAGGGCAAATTTCTCCGGCGCGGCTCTGCCAAATCTGGCGTACCTCCGGAGCAGAAATGGCGTACCTTTGCAGCAGGGCCGGAGAAGCGTCCCATTTGCCTGCCAGTGATGTCACCGCGACCTACAAGAAGGGACCGCCCATTTGCCCCGCTCTCATTGGTCAACTGGGTCCGGCCCGACTCTGGCAGATTCGGACTGTCCGGCGGAGGGGTCCGGTCGATTGCTGAGATGATCTTGCCCTTACTCTAACTTACGAGGAAAGCACTATTAATCGAAATGATGTATACCGCTGAGTGGTATCATGCACCAAAAATTTGGCATTTCAGCAAAACGTATTTCAAAGTTGTGGCTTCAAAAACGTAACACAAAACTTAAACCTGTAAAGCTCGAACCTGTGCCTTGTGCACCAAGCAACCACACAAGCACAGATTGCACATCAGCACGCCTGGCGCAGTGCTTATAAAAAAGATGTACTGCATGGTCAAATTCTCAATTTTTCGAAAAGCAATTCGCAAGACTACAGTCTGATGTAAGTGCAGTCAAAAATCAGCTCTGACCGCACTTATATCTCACCTAAAATGGTCACATCAATAAAAGGTTGAGGTTTGACCAAAGGTGAGAAAAGAGCAAATTGAAGTATTAAACGCAAAAAAGATTTTCGCTTAGCATCATAGCTCATAAATACGGGGAAGCTAAAAAGAAAATGAACAGAATAGTTTTTGAAACAGTGCTTCTTCTAAGTTAATATGCACGTCAAAGCCGATCCATGATGCAATCTTTGAATTTCTAACCCAGCATTATCACTTGTGTTTTTGGACACGTTGTATGCGTTATTCTGCTCATCATTCTGGGCAAGAATGCCTGTTCATGAAAAGTTATTACGAATTCTTTCCAAAAAATTTATGAAGAAAACGAATTTTTTGCAGCTTGGTAATTATATTCTGCCACGGAAGTTGCTGACCTAACCATTGTCTTATGAGCAAAAGCAAGATGAATCGTAAGGAAAACGGCATCACAAGACTCAGAACTGGAGAAAAAATGAAAAATTTCGAGTACATGTTTTCAGATTTTTCGTTTAAATTCAAAAAGGGCTTATTTGGCCACTTTGTCGCGTGTCGGTATGCTTCAACAGCTCTAAGGTAAGCAGTCTGCTAGAATTAGATTTAAGACTCTTAGGAGGAAAGGGGAGCCAAATAACCCTCGAATTGTGTGGTTTAGCGAGGAAAGCAGACAGCAAAAGTGTAGTCTCAGACGAGCAAAGGAGAAACTGCAAATAATGCCGTTTGGCTCCGGTTAAATGTCTTCGCAGTCCAATGTAGATTTGAAACAACATGTATCATTTTGCTTATCATGAGATGACTAGGAACGCTGAAATCGTGGCCGAATTCGCTAAAGTCGAGAACCGCTCTATATCGGCATCGAGATAAAGACACTACGTGTACGGCTCTTCAAGCAAGATGAGCGCATTATCTGGTTTCAACCACTCCGTTAGCCTTCTTAAGTTTTTGACATCATCATATAATCAGAACAAACAATAAAGCATAGATTTAGGTTTTTTCTATCACATCGTGTGCACCAAAATTCCTTCACCAAACGTTCAATGAAAGTCATCATCTATCATGACTTATAATAAGCCGCTTAATCTGAGGCTGTGTGGAGTTTGTCCGTTACGAAAATACAGTAAGGAATGATTTACATTGCTCTAAAGTATGCGAGAGTAGCACGACAGGGGAGGTTCATTTTCATTTGGGATTGCTTACTGGACTGAAAAATGATGCACCTCCACGTAAGTTTTCATCTTTCCAAAACGGCCAGTGCGCGCCTCTGCGAAGCAGAGGTAGCGCACTGGTATATACATAAAACTCAAAAATTGTCAGTTTGGAGGGTATGTACGTTATAGAAACACGCGCCACTCAACCGATTTAGCTGAAACTTTGCAAACATATGTTTTCGACCCTTGCGCAAATGATAGGCTACTTTTTGCGGCGATTCGTTGGGTTCTTCTATCGATTTATTGATTTGTTTACATTTTCCTAAGGAATTAAAGGGTTATCATGTTCAATCAAGCATTTTCCATACTCATGTAAAGGAGGGCGGTGAAGCTCATTTTCACCTCAGGATCACGAGGATGCGTTTCCAAGCGGATGTCCCAGGGTAAGTCATCCATACCATATAGGGCGGGGAGGGGGGGGGGGAGGGTTGGGGCTCGCAGTGCGGTGAACCATGGCCCGGGCTGGACCGGGAAAGCCAACTAGTAACTTATAATAACGGGCTAAGGGTTGTTCACGTTTGTGTGTGTGTGTGTGTGTGTGTGTGTGTGTGTGTGTGTGTGTGTGTGTGTGTGTGTGTGTGTGTGTGTGTGTGTGTGTGTGTGTGTGTGTGTGTGTGTGTGTGTGTGTGTGTGTGTGTGTGTGTCTGAATCTCTGTCTGTCACGAAATTCATAGCGCGAGTTGCAGCCGAGATTTCAAGCTGATTTTTTGTACACAATGTGCTCCCAGCATGCAGGTTCACCGTGCGCAAGGGCGAGACGATCCGATGGACGGATCTTTCAAAAATTGCGCGTCAAACGGGTCCACCGGCTTTTGAATCGCAATACTGGATCGGTATTCAGAGTTTTGAAAAATTTATGGATTTGTTCGAAAAGTAGATTTGCAGGCCTTGGATTATAGCTCAAAAAGGTGATCAGAAAATTCATTCTTTCGCAGAAACGACGCCAAAGAAGAATGATAACGTCTAACGTCAAGATTTGATAACGGTTTGTCAAGGTGTTACCTAAGAAATTGAAGAGCTTTTTGCACAGGCATGTAGCTCACACTGTTTAGTGCACTTATAGCAATTATCAAGCCGCAGTGAATTCAGTAAATAATTCAAATTTGCTGTTATTCTTTCGCAGAGAAATTTTTTGCTCCCAAAATCACCGATCTTACGTGGAAAAGCTTCGAGAATGAGCAGCTGTTTACAACTCATTTGTGATGTTCAGCATTGCGTGGTGAGTTTCAAAGTCATTATAATGCAATCACGAGAAAGACACACGGATAGTAGAGCCAGTGCGAACCTCTGCGAAGCAGAGGTGACGCACTGGTACATAGATAAATCGCATTCGGTTTTGAGAATCCCCTTTGAAGTGATTTCATGGATAAAAGAAATGCATGCGTTACAGATTCTCTAATTAATGAAAATCTGTTAGCTGTAATTAAGCTTTGAAAGAAAGCGAGGCGAGAGGAGAGTTGTTAAGAGAAAGTACATTTCTTACAAGGAAATGGTCAAATTCGAAGTGGCCAATCCAAGCACGCTACATAGCATTAGATGCAGCGTATAAATTTCGAGTCAACGTTCTATGCTGCATCGAATGCTATACACCTTGTTTGAACATTTCGGACCATTCCTTTGTTAGCAACACACTCATTCTTCTTCCGTAACTTTGAGAATAAATGGAGAATCATTATAGCATTATATGTAAGATTTATCGTTCAACAATGTACAGCGGATGAACGAATCCTGTTGAGACGATGTCGACATGTTGGGAATCAATGTGCTGAATTGATTCGGTCTTCAATGAGTGGAGATATGAAGTGTTGAGGACATCTACCATAGTCTCATGATTAAGAAACTCGGCTAGAGAGGTCGTTGCGGTAAAGGATCCTCTCGTGTTGGTCGAATAGACGAATCCTCGTAACCTTCTTTGGTCCATTCTGCAGCTTCAGCGCTAGCAAACAGGCAGAAAAATATGTTTGTAACAATAAGAATCGCACCATGAAGTATTAGGACTGCTGCCCAAGATGCTGAAAGTGCAAATATAGTCTGGAATTTCTAGTCTTGCGAAAATTCTGGATGTGACTACACATGCATATATTAGGTTGTCAAGAAAATAATGTCGGTTTTTATTTGCTTGCTTTAACAAAGCAACCAGACTCAATTCAACAAAAGGTAGGAAATACTGCTCGATAGAGTAAAGCCAGCTTTACAAGATGGCATTCATGACTTTACGCCAAGCTAGATCCATGGAGAGTTCAAACTCAAAATCTAAAGATTTTCAAATGCCCAAAAAACCAAAAAAAACCCAGATCTTTGTCCAAATAATTTCCATGGGCCTCCCACTCGCACACATCAATACTGTCGATATCTGGGCCGGTAGTAATCTACCGTACCTGGTGGCATCAAAGATGCCGGCAAGTAGGCAGACATCGCTGGGAAGTTGCCATCTTCGGCTTCAGCTCGCGGAGTGATTGTAGGTTTTAGTAATCTTACGCTCAGACAGTCGATGGGATACCTCCGGAGCAGAAGTGGCAGCGTCGCGGGCTTTCCCCAGCGGAGGATTGCCACTTCGCGCTCCGGAGCCCTGCCATTTCACGCATTTTTGTGCTCCGGGGCTCTCCCAAAAGTGGCGCACCTCCGGAGCAGAGATTTGCGCGTCGCGGAGAGGGGTCCCATTTATTCACCGTGCCGACGGCTTTTTGGCCACCTTTCCGTGAGGTGGCCAAAAAGCCGTCGGCAAAGCTGCCAGCACCTCGACGTGCTAGGAGCACGTCGAGATGCCGGCAGCTGCCTCTCTCAAAAGAGCACGCTATTTCTCGTGCTCTCTGACCTGCCGGCAGCCGCCATCTCGCAAATTTCGACGAGCTGCCGGCAGGTTGCCGGCAACTGACCTCGCGAAGTTGCCGGCAGCTCCTCCTGCGCTTCCAGATATTTTTCTACAGGAGGATTTCTGGAACCGCAAATTTCGATGGAGGTTTCTATAGGGCCGAGGTGGCATCTTCATCGAGAAAATTTTTTTGAAAAAGGCCTGGGACGGCTTTTTGGCCACCTCACGGAAAGGTGCCAGCGATCTGCCGACGAGACCTGCCGCCAGGTCGGGGGGATTACTACCGGCCCTGCTGCTGTCCATACGTGCACTTCCTTTATTTTTCCTTGACTAGAAACTGAGAAAACGAAAATTTCCGTAATTTTTTCAAGGCAATGCTGAACTGTTCTTGCATATGTAGTTCTATACTATAAGCCTAGGTAAGCATAACTGATTTTCAGCCTATTTCGAGCAGCAATTTTTGAGAAATGTCGATTTTAGCACTGAAAATGTGAAGAAAAAAGCTCAATTCGATGTTTTTGAAAACTATCGCTTGGAATGGGTTGAAAATCTACAGTTATGCTTATCTAGACTCGTGGTATAGAAATACACATTCAAAACGGCTCAGCATTGCTTTGAGAAGATTACGGAAATTTTCGTTTTCTCAGTTCCTAGTCAAGAAAAAATTTAGCAACTGCACGTATGGATAGCAGATATCAAGAGTATTGATGTATGCGAGTGGCAGGCCCATAGAAATTGTTTGGACGAGTACCTGATTTTTTTCGGTTTTTTGGGCACTTGGAAATTTTTAGATTTTGAGTTCGCTTCCCGTAGAACAAGCTTGGCGCAAAGTCATAAATGCCATCTTGTAGAGCTGGCTTTGCTCTATCGAACAGCATTTCCTACCTTTTATTGGGTTGAGGCTGGTTGCTTTGTTAAAACAAACAAATTAAAACCGACATTATCTTCTTGACAATCTAGTAACAATATCAAGGCTAATGAAATACGATACGAGGAGATTTTTTGGCAACTCACAATAGTCGTCGTTATGGGCGATCAAGACGTTGAATAATGATGTCAAAAACATTGAGATGCAATTCAGGACGAACAGATTTGCAAGAAGAAATAGATGATGCTGGAATGCAAAGTTACCAGATACTTATTTATATTTTGTTCTTTAAGTAAAAACGGAAATTCAACGCAAACCTGTTTTGAACGAAGTTGATTCATTCTGAAGAACCCACATGAGGAAAAGCCAAGAAGTGAGCTAGCCACAATGAATAGAGCCTGAAGGTTGGAATATTCTGACATGAAGCTGATGAAAGATTACGAGATCACCGTAGCAGATTTTGGTTGCGTATCAGGATCGAATGCTCCAGTCATCATGAAGAGTATGCCAGATGGGATAGTACCCATAGTGTTGAAGAACCGCAGTTTGTTTTGTGCAGAATTTCTTGTAAATGATTAGACTTCGCTGTAGTGTTGAAGAATTGTACACTCACGCTAATCTTGACCAGAGTCCATACATGACAAAGGCAATCACCGTATTGAGAACTGGTGGGATCATGAGCAGAAATCCACTTCCTACTATTGGTATTTGCACTACCTAAACCGAATTCTTCTACTGTCAGTAATGGTAGGCAGAAGCCTCTCTGTACCTTATTCAGAAAAGTAGGACCAAATGTAAGGTAAATGTTTACTGCAGTAAAATATCCAAAAGCTGCTGCAAACACAGACCATACCCGGATGTCCTAAAAGATAAATAGTGTATGATCGTCTCCACGATTCGTGTAGAGGTGTATTGCAGACTTTGCCTGATAACACAGGTAAACTTGCTAAACCTCCACGTCAAAGCATTGTTTTTTTTGTACTCTCTCGCTATCAAAAACCGCCACGCTTTGAGTTGGCAAAACCCCGCCTCTACACGAATCGTGGAGCCGATGATAATTGATAATTCCCGTTATCATTAGATATGGATGTCGTAAGTGTTGAAAATAAACTGCTGTGCCAAACAGGTTGTTAGGCAAGTTCGACGCTTGCATCCCCACAGAAGCCGGAATAGTTCATATCTTCAAATGCACTCCAGCCTTCTAAAATCCACTAGCCTTGCTAATTCTCAGTTTATCCCCCAACCTCGTGTTACAACGATTGGAACTTCTGCACCAAAGAGCACTTGGCAGATATAAGGTGCAAGATTTTGACTCCACCGCTTGGTAGACATGGGTTCGCAATAATCACCTGTTCGCGCAACTGGGCTGGGTGCAGGTTTATACCTAAACCTCAGTGCGGCATCCAAGCCACTAATCTGGATGCGGATAGCTTACTGTAAAACTCTAGGGCATTCTCGAAAACGAAATTACTTGAGCATATTTGGTCGAACGGCTAGGTGATTAGGATTTAACGCGGAAGGCAATGGTTCGAGGCTGGCTAGCGGTGGATTTTTGCTCTCTCGCAGAGCACTCTATCACCTGTCACCTGTATTACCTGTATCCCTTTTGATCTTCGCTTGACACGAGCGGGATCCAGTGACGCCTCCATTCGTCGCTGTCGCGAGCGATCGTTGACTAATGTCTTCTCATCGCGTTAGGTACAAGAGGAATGCCCTGAAGGACTTCTTTAAAGGACTTCATGAACATGTTCGACCATCGAGTCGGCGCTCCTTCTGTTCCGCGTTTAACGTCCAGTGGAGTCCAATCCGTTAGAGCTCTGGTCTACCGTGTTGTCAAAACGCATCACGTGTCCGGCCCATCCAATTCTATTCTGTGTGCTGTAAGCGGCAGCATCCCTGATATACGATCGTTGACGTATGGTGGGGCTTTGTACTCATTCCATCACTTGCGTGAGTCGATTCACTCCCAGCATCACTTTCTCAACAGCTCGTTCGATGGCGCTAACTGCGTGTTTATCCTGCTTCATCAATGTCATTGTTTTTGAAGCGTACGTCAAAATAGGAAGCCGTCGCGTTAAAAAGGTGGGAGACAGGAGCCGGGTGTTCTTGGTCTTCTTCATTACTTACTCAATTGCCTTATATGCTCCCCATGCTGCTCGTTTCCTCCTGCTCAGTTCCGGCTCTAGGTCGTTCATCATATTGACTTCCCGACCTAGGTAGACGTAGCTTCGTTCGATTCGGCGATTGTCATTCCATTCAGCTTATAAGGAACTCATCCGTTTCTCATGAACATCGTCTTCGTTAGATTTAGCCTTATATCGATCTTCCCGCATATGTCAAAGTGGTCCAGCATTCGTTCCGCTTGCTTGATGTCCGGTGTAATCAGGATTATGTCATCAGCAAAGTGAAGATAATGTAGTTGACATCCGTCGACTGTCACATCCATGTCGCTTCATTTTAGTGGCCACACGATATTTTCGAGAGCATTTCTGAAAGGTTTCGGCTATATGGTATGCCTCGTCGTCCTCCTTTCTTCACGTCGATGGTGATGTCCTTGTAGAATGGCGTGATCTTGGTTGTGAAGTCGTTGTACTGCTCACGAAATATCTTGAAGCTGGTGAAAAAACTGAGCTGGAATGCCTTGGTTGCTCAAAGCATCGATGGCAGCCTCAGCCTCAACCGAATCAGATGCTCCAATTTCAGCTGTTTGATAACTTTGGCATTGTAATTATAATGTCTTGTCGTGTCTTTGAGCAGCAACCACGATGTGACTTTTTATTCAACCGAATGAGATGCTTTTTTTTACGTCGATGAAGGTGAGACAGAGCGGCATTTTATACTCCCGCGATACTTCAATAAGCCTTGTTATCGTGTGTATGTGGCCCATAGTACTGAATCATTTCCGAAACCCAGCTTGCTCGCATGATTGTCCTTCTAATTTTCTTTCGACCCTGTCGAGAAGTACTCATGTGAAGAGTTTGTAGACTGTAGACAATAAGCAGATAGGACGATAATTTCCGATGTCGCGGGGTCTCCCTTCTTGTACAGTCTTGATAGTCTTCGATTGACTATCAAGACGGTCTTGATAGTCTTCCATTGACTTGAAGTCGTGCCCTCCGTCAGGTACCGCATGAAGAGCATTGCCAGAGTTTTGATGATTGCTGGCGAAAGACTCTTCAGTGGCCGTATTCATCAACGAACCCCGAGGGTTAAACTAACCCTGGAGGGTTAATTTAGCCCTGGAAAGTGTTTAACCCGTATTCATGAAACACAGGGTAGGCTTAACCCTGAGGGTCAAATCTAACCTTGAGGGTTAATTTTACCCCGAAAGCGACTAACCCGTATTCATCAACGAATCGTGAGGGTTAAACTAACCCTGGAGGGTTAAAGTTACGTGATTCATCAGGGTTAATTTAACCCCAACTCAGAGCAGGGTTAACTCTACCCTAACACTTTATAAAAACATTTACTCGCACCTAATAATTCTATGGAAAACGATCAATGAGTATTGTAGTGTTTATATGTATTAGTTGTTGTGATAATATCTAGTTTCGACTTCGTTTTATGTTCAAATTCGAAGTACATGAAACACTGACTTTGCGAGAAAGAGAATTCTAATGGTGACAAATGAATGCGACGAGGAAAAATGGTTGCGCATTCCACTCTGACAAGTGCCAAAACAGAAAAACCCCTTTATGATATTACGCATTGACCCCTAAAAAAGTAGCACAAGCACGGTATAAAACGAACTGCGCAAAGTAGAACTTTCACGGCACAATTGCACAGAAAATAAACTCACGCTGTAAGATTGGATGCTGCACAGATATGCTAGAGATGTTTTATAAAAACTAGTGTTAGAAGCTTATTCGTTGACTATACTACTATAACAGTGAAAGAATAGAAGTATAAAGTGAATTTGGCACGTACTAAGACATTCTGTGATGTGAGTTTGCACAGCGCACGCGTAATTGACGCCTTAACCCTCCAGGGTTAGTTTAACCCTCAGGGTTCATTGATGAATACGGCCACAGGTTCGTTGATCGATACGGGTGGATCGCGTTATATGGTAAACCCTACCCTATGGTTAATGAATACGGCCAATGAACCCTGAGGGTTAAACTAACTCTGAGGGTAAGTTTAACCCTCAGGGTTCGTTGATGAATACGGCCACAGGTGTCCTGGTTTGATCCTGTCGGGCCCAGCTGCTGTACGGCTTTTCATTGACATGATAGCATGTCGAACCTCTGAAGGAAGAACTGATGGCGCAACTATCTGTCCCCTTTGAGATGGCATGGTGGTAGGTGGACGTAACTCGCAATGAGATCCGAGTAGAATTCGTGGATGACTTTCTCCATCGCCTCTAGAAAGAGGTTGTGGTCCCATAAGGGTGGTGAAGTGCGGTCATCTTGGTTTTGAAATTGACGATGCTTTGGGGGCCTTGCGTATACTTCTTCCGGCCTCCGCGGCGTCAGCCATTACTTGTGCTCTTCTCTCTTTAAGATCTTTTTTTATCGCTTTTCTGCATTTCTTCGCGAGCTCAGACATAAGTTGGTAATTGCCTATGGCTCGTGCTCGTCCACGTTGGCGTATTAGCTCTAAAGTCTTTGTTGAAAGACACTTTCTCAAACTTCTTGGGCTCTCAGCTTTCTTAGCACAATCGTGGAGATGCTGGGTAAACCTTCTATTCCTCGTCGATGTTGTCGATCACGGTATCTCGCCAAAAGCCAGATATGGAAGAAAGCAGGTCCCAGTTGATAGTAGAAGTTTCCTGAACTAAATGGCTCTTTTTCCATATCTTGTGAATAGCGGAACTTGGCACGAAGGAGATGATGGTCCGATTCCGTGTAAAATTGCGGAACAACAGCAACGTCCATCAAGCAATACCTTCGATTGACGATGATGTGATCAATCTCGTTATGGTACTCTCCACAAACAATTCCCAAGTCCAGCATCGGGAAGGGGGCTTTTGGAATTGCGAGTTTCCTTGGATGGCCCTCGTCGTCGTGATGAACTCAGACAGTCCCTTACCTTGTACATTCCACTGCAGTCCGTGGGTCCCCATGTGAAGCCCTGCAAGCGACCTTCTTGCTCCGATCTTCGAGTTGAGCACCGGCGATGACCTTGTAGAAACTGCACTCTTCTCTGTAGAACTTCTCCAAGTCCATGTAGAAGGCCTCGACTTCGTCTTCGTCGTAGCTTGATGTTGGGGCGTATGCTATGAAGACCGTCAAGACTTGATGGTCTTTATAGCATACACATGTTCCTAAGAACAGTTCTTCTTCAATATCAAACGTCAAGTTCAGCGGGTGGTGTCTCCTTGTTTTGGTCAGTTCGATGACGTCGTACCTGATCTTCTTTGCTTGCATCAAGAGATCTTCGATGGATGCGTTGACTGAGAGCGTTCGTGTGTTGTAAATACAGATCGTCATCATTGTCCGTCTCGTTTTCGGCAGCCTAGATCGCCTTTCAAACATTGTCCTCACTGGCGCTGCCCTTCCAGTGGCTCTTCCAAGATTAAGAGAGCTTTTCATTATATACTGTGTTTCACGAATGAATTACTCATAGGAGCAGCTTGTTGGGCTTAAATCTTCCGCGAGGGACGGTCGGAGCTTATTTGTTAAGGCGACTCCGAGCCCGCTTCTCCCACACCTACCCGGAAAATAGGTACGCAAGCTTCTGATGGAAGCAGAGAGTTCGTCCCCCGGCTCCGCTTGCTTATTACAGCAGGCGCGGGGTCGCTTTTGGTCGGCGATTAGCCCCTATCCGCCACCTGGGTGCACCCCACGTAGCCTCGCGACTAACCGACGGGACTTGGATCCAGGGCCGCATGCACTAACATTGCCGCGGGGAGGGGATCGCAGCCTAAAAGAAAGCTCAATATTTCAAAAATCCAGGTACCTGGATTTCACATCGTGTACCTATCCGTAAGTATTCCTACTATCCTTCACTATGAACATGTTGAACAGGAGCGAGAAGCTGTACGAACCGCATTTTCTAGCTTTAGTATGATCCCTGTTGATCCCCGGGGCCTTTCTTTGAAGTCATTTTTCTTTCTCCAAAGTTAACGAAAAACTTTCAAAGTTATGCTGATTATCTAACCCAACAGTGCTAGGCATGTTGCTGATAAGAACAAATGATGGTTTGAAGTCATGAAATTTTCGATGATCCACAGGTCGAAATTTGGGGTTTAACGAAAAATTCGATTTTTTAAAAATTCATTTGTTCTCAACAGCAACATGCTTAGTACTGTTGTGTTAGATGTTCAGTATAACTTTGAAAGGTTTTCGTTAACTTCGGAGAAAGAAAAATGACTTTAAAGAAAAGCGCCGGGATCATCAGGGATCGTACAAAAGCCGGAGCGGTTCGTACAGCTTCTCGCTCCTGTTCACCATGTTCATAGTGAAGGATAGTAGGAATATTTACGGAAAGGTAGACAGCGTAATATCCAGATATCTAGACCTTCAGAATATAAGCTTTTTTTAAAGCTGCTACCCCCTCCCAGCGGGAATGTTAGTGCATGCGGCCCTAAGAGCGAGATGCGTGGTCACTTTGATAGCGGTCATTATTGAAAAATTGATGGTGACCGCTATCAAGGGTATCGCCTAGCAAATAAATTCAATAGCACAAAACTACGATAATTTGCCGAAAAATCATGGAAAAATGAAAAACTTGGAACACAAACGCAATGAAGGAAATAAATAAATTCTTGTTTTGTGCATCTTTCGAAGGAAACCTGGGCAAACTCTGCAAAACGATAAAGAACCTGTTTTCTTTTTACTCGTCGCCTAATCAGCTGTTCATCGATCCTCGCCTCTTTGAACCCCGAAACAGTTTTGTGTAATTTACTCGTTTGCACACCATTTCCCTTGGTTCATTCACTAGGATCTACCCTCGACTAACAAGGAAACGATACTCGGTGTCCGTGGCTTTTTGAGATGAGTTGTATACCATTACACTCGTCTTGGAACACTGATTCCGAATCTGACTTCCGTTTCTGCTAATCGCTTCAAAGATGTTGTAAAGAATTGTGCGGGCTATGGCTGTCCACTGAAATACGTTCGAAGCGGCGACAATGATGGTGCGGTGTGGTCTAGTGGTTAGCGCGATAGGCTTAGAGTTGATGCAGGTGTAGGTTCGAATCCTTTTGTGTTTTTCAGTTTTGCATTGCCTCAATAAACCTTCTTTCGCATCTTCGAGCTAACTGAACGCCCTTACTCTTCAAAAAAATGTGGAGATTTGGAAAAAATTTACTATTTGCGTTAAAATGTATCCAATGTTTATAATTCGAGTGAATCTCGAACAACTTTAATTGAGGTAGTGCAAAGTAAAAACACAAAAGGATTTGAACCTACACCTGTATCAAGTTATGAGGCTATCACACTAACCACTAGACAATAACATGGCGCCGGTAGAGGCCGCTTTGGTGACCATACCCTTGGACGGATAAAGTTGGCTCGAAACTCCTCCATAACTTCCTTCAGATAAATGATTAGCAGAAACGGAAGTCAGATTCGGAATCAGCGTTCGAAGGCGAGTGTAATGGTATACATCTCGTCCCAAAAGGCCACGGACATTGAGTATCGTTCCCTTGTAAGTGGCACTGCGTTGAACTGATCGTGGCATTGGGCGGGCGGTTTTCTAACTGTTCAACAGGCTATCTTCAAGCACGGGAAGGTGGGCGGTCTTAGGTTCACCCTAGGAAGTTCTTCTGAATGACTAATTTCAGGTCAATTGAGATGAATGGGGGTTTACTACGGGTCATAACATTAATCGCATAGTGGAGGCAACTTTTGATGTCAAATTCACAACTTTAACATTTAGGAAAAAACTTGGCTGGGGAAGCCTTAGCATCGTTCCGGATTTCTGCAAAGTCCTGAGATGAACAACAAAAAGGAGTGTTTATCCGTGATTGCAGTTCTTCTTCCGTACTTATCATAAATGAGCTGTTGCATATTTTTTGTGACATCTAGCTCGGATATAGCTCACTCGTTCGTCGCAACCTTCTATAATACATCTTATACGGACATCGAACAAAGCCAAGTTTCTCTGATACCATATACTTATACACTTTGTTAGCTTAGATTGGTTTAAGAGCCAGAACTGGTAAGGCTTGTGATAAGGTTTGGTGGGCTGGCGTACCGATAAAGTTTTGAATCCTTTCAGACTTCTGTGAAAGAGCGTCGTGAGGTAAAGCCGCAGACTGACGAATAAAGGATCGCCTAACAACTTGTTCGGAGCGGTACTCGACATTTTGGTTTTGCTGAGAATACTTTCAGAAGATTATCACCTGGTATATGGAAAGGTATGGCAGTCTGAAATGAAGAACTAGCGAACGACAACGCTCATAGGTAAAAAGCGCCTGAAGTAGGATTGGTTTGGTCACGATAGGAAAGGGAGAGGCGAAGGAAAGCCTTCCCCTCTGATCAAACAATGAACTTTACATTGAACATTCCCTCCCTTCCGACTTTCTCCTTAAACTCGTCGTCGTAGTTGATAAGAATGAAAAACAGAAAGACAACAGCTGTAGCGATACATGCACCATAGTGTACAGAATGCCACCCCAGGAAGCTCCATGACATAAGGGAATAGACTGGAAAGGCGAAAAATGCTGCAAGCTGGAAGGAAAAATTTGTAGGCTATGTGATAGAAAAGCAAGATACATCAAGTCAAATACCTGCATGTAGGCGAAGATTATGGTTGGCACTGCGATATTGTCCATAGGTATGAATAAAGCCATTTTGCAGACGTAGGGAAGAAAGGCGGGAAGGGAAAAACCTAAATCAAAGGCAGGGTTCGGGCAAAAGAGGGGAGGATGAGTTTTGCACGTAGTACGGTAGCAGGTTCCCAAACTAAGCTATCCAAAGCGCGATATTGTTTTACATAGCGAAAAATTCGCTTTGGAAGAGACCCATCGCCCGCCTGAGTCCTCCGCCTGCCCGAGTCACAAATGCATATCGAGTGTGATCAGGACCAGCAAGTACTTTAACATTCTTCACGCTAGTTACTTCGATATCATACCTTAGTATTCCGACAATCTCGTCTATGTTTTTCCATGAAGTGTGCAAAAGCTTTCCATTTCGAACGTTCTAGACAATTTGGAACCTTTATTCTTGTTTGGCGCGACAGCAAGAGCCATCAGAGATAGAGATCCAAAGTCGGGGACTCGCTCGGAGTGTAGAGCCTTTTTATGGGGACCATATGTTCAGTATTGCTGCGCTATGACAGGCATTTCTATTTATTCTTTTTAGACAGAAAAAATTGAAGTGGACGTAATCTCTCTGCATGCGATTATGTTACTGGAAATTATCTTTATAAATAAAGCTGAATGTCTGTTTGTCTGTTTGTGTGTATGTCTGCATGTGTGCTTGTACGTATGTTTCCAATAAGAAATTCCATTTGTGGATCGGGACCAAACATTGCAAACATAAACTTCAGGGCGGGACAGGTGTCATAGGCTATCAGGTTGGTGCAAAATTCCTTCACCAAATAGGTACAGACCGCAACAATCCGGAATAATCCTATATCTCAATAGGATTCGATATATCATTAGAAGAGCAAACCTAGCTCTACAAGATAGTGCTCAAATATTTGCATCAGCTTTGATCCACGCAAAGTTTTGAGCCGAAAACTGAAAAAACCATGCATTCGAAAATTTTAAGACCAATCAAAACAAAATTGTAACTTCGTTCAAAAACTTGCTCACGAGTAGACATTCCGCGTACGACATTTATCTATGCGGTTGCTGTATTTTTTTCTCAGTCAGACGATGAGAAAACGAAGTTTTTCATGTTTTTGCCAAATTAGTGCTGAGATGTTCTAACACTAACATTTGTATAGTGCATGCCTTTAGCAGTGAAGCTTTACATTTTCAGCCTTCTAGAACTGCTAGTTTACGAAAAATAACGAATCTAGCTCCCCCTATTTGAATTTTTCTTGCCCATTTGCTTATAATTCGATATTTATCGTAAACCAGCTGCTTAAAAAGCTGAAAATTTGAACTACTGCTTCTAAGGTCCTGTAGTATACAAGTGTCAGTGCTAGAACATCTGAACATTGTTTTGGAAAAACCAGCTGAGAGAACAATACAGCAACTGCATAGAGAACCAGCTAAGAGAAATATACAGCAACTGCATAGAGAAATATCTTATACGAAACAACAAAGCATGAGCAAGCTAGAAGTTTCGGAGGATTTTTCTGAAGGGACTTCCAAATTTTTCTTAACTTTTTGAGGTCGCTTGGATCTTTTTAGTTTTTGGCTTCAATCTTCGCTTGGGTCAAAGCTGCTGCAAATCTTCAAGCAAAATCTTGTAGAGCTAGGTTTGCTCTGTCCAATGATATATCGAATCTTATTTGGGACTAGCTGGCATACCCGGCTCCGCCGTATGTTCCGAATAGAAAATTCCATTTCTCAACCGATCCGAACCAAACTTGGCACACATACACTTCGGGCCCGGCGGGTGTCACAGTCCACTTTTCGCTATCGATTGATGCCGATTTTATCGATTTTTTGCAAAATTTGAGCTAGGGGGCTGGGATTTGGCACAGGGGGGTAATCGAGCATGCTGATTACGAATACAATATTAGTTTTCGAAACCGTGCATTACTTTTATCGATTTTATCGATTTTTTTGCAAAATTTGAGCTAGGGGGCTGGAATTTGGCAGGGGGTGTAATCGAGCATGCTGATCACCCCCACGGGGGTGATCAGCATGCTCGATTACCCCCCTGTGCCAAATCCCAGCCCCGTAGCTCAAACTTTGCAAAAAAATCGATAAAATCGATATCGATCGATGACGAAAAGTAGCCTATGACACCCGCCGGGGCCCGTAGTGTATGTATGCCAAGCTTGGTCCGGATCGGTTCAGAAATGGAATTTTCTATTCGGAACATACGTACAGACAGACAGACATACAGACAGACATACATACATACAAACAGACATTCAGCTTTATATATAAAATATAGGATTATTCCAAATTATTGCGGTCTGTACCTATTTTGGTGCAGGATTTATGCATCAACCCAATATTTTCGTTATCCTCAATATCGATTTTGTCGATTTTTTGCAAAATCTGAGTTACGGTGCTGCGAGTTGGCATAGGTCAGTGAGTATGCTGATGACAAAAATTTTATTGACAAGGCCGATTGGAGCCGGGTTTGCCAGCTAGTCAGACATAAAGTGCGAGAGCTTCAGAGTATTGAAAAACTTATCATACCTTGCAAAATTCGAATAACACATGCTAGTAAAAATGTTTTAGCAGTAGTACAAAGAGGAATGAATACGGACGGAATAATGGCAAGGACTGCGCAGAGTACGAAACATCTCCTAGAGAAAAAATTTATTTACACATTCAAACAAAATGCTTTGTTATCACCTGAATCCCATCTGATTATAGGCATAGGCCACTGGAAAGAATGCTATCAATCCACCGAGGGGGCATACTGCTATGAGAGATTCTTTCTGTGGATTCGATAGAAATTTGTGCTTGTGGAAAGTGACATTCACTCGTGTTGTGTCGTTGATTTCATGAATTCGAAACTCATCGTAGTCTAAACATTGACGAATTAGAAACATCCAGCAATTTGTGACTTCTACCCCTCGCAATTCTTTATTGGACAGGTGCGAAAAAATAGAAGTGTTGTGTAAGTTGGCTCCATCAAATCATTTTTATGTTCGAATATCGAACGAGATAAATTTAATGGAACTTTAGTAAGCTGTAATTGTCTATGTCCAAAAATTCAAAGTTCAATCACTTACACTCAAAAAGGTAATATAAAGTTGTAAATAACCAGTAATCTTTCCCGTTTTTTAATTTTCACAACTGCGTGATTATGTTGGTATAGGCAAGAAAATCTAAGCCATTCGGCACTTTTTTTTCGGGTCTCCAAACTTGACGATAAATCTCAAAAGCGATTAGCCATCATGACTTATAATAACGGGCTAAGGGTTGTTTACGTCTTTTTGTACGTGTGTGTGTGTCTGTCTGTCCGTTACGAAATTCGTAGAGCGTGTTCCAACAAACGTTCTAAGCCCAAATTTTGAATAGCGCATGCTACCTTCATGGAAGCCCAATATGCAAAAGCACGAGTAGATTCGTTGAGTGGATCCCTCAGAAATTGCGCGCCAAACGGGTCCACCTGGCTTCTGTACCGCAAAATTCGGTCCGTATCACCACTTTTTGCAGAGTCGTGGATGAGTTTGGTAAGCAAATGTGCAAGCGATGGAGTTTAGCCAGAAAAGTGATTGAAAGTTTACTACATAACGAAAACGGCGCCAAAACGAATAGGTTGTGTAAATGGTCAATTTGCTAAGGTTCTAGCTAAGCGTTTGAGAAGATTTTCGCACAGAGATGTAGCTCATGGTTATCATTACCTTCATGGCGACTACCAAGTAATGACAATTCCAAAAACCTATTCAAATTTGCGTTTGTTTTCCTGCGAAAAGCTTCATCCACGCGAAATCACCGATCTCACGTGAAAAAACTTTCCAAATGAGTGGTTGTTTACATTTTATTCGTGGTAGTCGGCATAGCGCGGTGAGTTCCAGTGCCATGATTCTACGAGAATGAGTAAGGCACATAGATAGTTGAGCCAGTGCGTCAATCTCTGCGAAGCAGAGGTGACGCACTGGTTTTAAAAAAGCGGTTCAAAATGACCTCACAATCTTCCGGGCTCTCCTTTCTTACTTAGGTTATGTAAAGAACCAGAAGATTCACGGCACTTTTTCGTTATTCGGACCCATTTTTCAAAAGAAAGGATATTGCTTCTCTCCTTGTACCATATCTGGTCCCAACTTCATAGGAAAGAGTGTCAACCTTCTCCACGTGTCAAGAAAATTTGACATGTCATCTACATGTTTAACAGGTTCTACCAAGAGTCTGTGTTGCCCTACCTAGCGACGTAAGTTCAATCTGTTTTTAGTCAATTTTGACCTCATTCCGATCAAACAGTCTCAAAGTGATTGTCATATTAATAACGACATACTGCCACCGATGAACAGATTAGACTTGCTTAGAGTAAAGAAATGCGCTAGGTTACCGTCATTTAAAGGCAGCGTCCAGGCAGATCTGGACCTATGGGATTTTTACATGGAAAGTACTTTTGGGGTCCTAACTAAGGCACTGCCCATGCACTGCCCAAGCGGCAGCGCAGGTAGTGCATCAACCCTAAGATATTTCCTTTGAAACTGGACCCCGAGATCGTATTCGCATGGATTCATGGCAGTTTCCTGGCGCGACAGGATCACACGTTGCGCCATAAATCCATGCGAAATACGATCGCGGGGTCCAGTTTCGTGGGGAATATCTCAGCCGTTAGAGCACTACCTGAGCTGCCGGTTGGGCAGTGGCTTAGTTAGGGCCCCAAAATTACTATCCACATAAAATCCCTATGTGTCCAGACTTGCCTGGACGCTGCCTTTAAGAGGCGAAATAAGCAGCAGAAAGTTACTTTTAGCTATCAAATATAGTATTGTTAAACTCGCGTGGCGAAAAAGGCTAAAAGAGAAAGCCCTGGACCTCACCGGAAATGATTTCGGAAAAAAATATGCCAAAATGGACCAAAACGTGTCAATTTTTTCGCGAAACGTGGCAAGGAAGAAGTCCTCGTATGATTATGAGAAAATATTTTTACATTAAAAAACGTATTATGTGAGAGCTTTCTGAAAAAAAAATGGGTCTGGATAACGGCAAAGTACCGATTCTAACTCCGTCTAAGGGATCGTCTAAGGGATAAAAGCTATCATGTTGGTGCAAAAGTAATACGCGTTGCGATCTCTCACTTTGACGTACTATAACTTTCTGATGAATCTACATTTTCTATTGCGATAAAGACCATCAGAGGCAGCAAACCTTTCGCAATACAACGCAATTACACCTACAGTTGTCAATTACGTACTCGCTTTAGCGTAAGAAGTACGCATGCGCAACGCTAGGGCCTTGCGTGCGGACCTCCGATCGATAAGGCCAAGCCAAAAGCGTGCGAAGCTCTGGCTGGCAATTGCGCCGCTTACGGAAAAGGCAGCACGTGATTGACACCGACTGTATACTCAAACTACAAGAGGGCAGAAAGATATGGATTGATAAGCAAAAAAAGTTTTTTTTCTAGAACCTCGTTGTTAACTGATCGTAACTTCTTTTAAAATTTGTTAGCAATGTTAAGTTGCCTATGTTGTAGCCGCAAGCCAGTAGGATAGAAGAATATGGAAAGAACTCGGACAAAAAAGATTTGCGAAAAGGAAAAAATAAAAATTCAAATTTGTCAGCCTTAACAACATTTTTTTTTGTAGGCCTCAAAGTCCCAAAATATGGAGTTTTCCGAATTACTGCGTACTGAACAGCTAACCAATTTTGCAAAAACTGTCAGCAGGAGGCCAACCCTTACGCTTACAGAAATGAGTAAAGCTTTGGCGCTTGCTTTCTTTAAAAGAAATTTATGGGCCACAGGTAAACCAAAAGACTACTCAGCTTGAAGCGCCGAAATCTCAGTCTAAGTAATTTTTTGAGGAATCAGTAAAGCATGCATAATATAGACAAACTTCACTGCATACAGTAGCTGAGTTTCCAAAAGGAATGTGTTTATTCGTGCTCGATTTCTGCTCAGAGAATCAATGCAATGAATATCTGGCTTCGAGTATCTCTGAAGCTCTATAAATTTTTGACAAATGATGCTAGAAGCTTCTTTCAACGACCATAAGATAGAGCATGAAGGGAGCTTTTTCATTGTATGCTTAGTTTTTCTGAATAAGGAAGTTATTCGGAGAAAATTTGTTCCGAAACAAGGGTCACTAAGCGCGCATTACTTTTGCACCAGCCTAGTAGGTTTTGAATTTAATAACATAATTCATTCTGATAGGTATTTCATGATACTTATTGTTGGAACTTCGAATCCCACTATTATTTGAGTCGATCTCAGTCTTCGTTTATAGTCATTCTCGAAAAATATTAGATTGTAACATATATCTTGTTAGACTTGAAAGAAAACCTTCATAACTATGTCCAAAGATTTTTTCTCATATCCAAATTGGAGGATCTTTTCAATTTATACATGCGGGAAGTGGAAAATCGTTTTTGAATTTTTTGAAATTTTTCTATTTATTTTTTCAAATTTCCAACTTACGTTATTGAATAGTCTAGACTTCCAAACTTTACTCGTATTATTACTAATGTCCCTGGAATCCAGCAAAAATCTGAGAGTATAAAAAATAAGAATGAGAGAATTTTTAAAGATGAAGAAAAAAGTGAATATTTAAGTGCCGTCATAAAATTGCCCTTGTATTTACTGTAACTCATACCTTTAAGGGTAGAAATGATGTTAATAGATACTCCTTTGTCCACCCTCATATGTGTCAAACAGTGACGTACCGAGGAGGGGTGGGGGTGGGATCCCCTCCCCCCCCCCCTCCCCCCCCCCCGAGAATTGGTCGTCAAATTTTTCCAAAGTTCTTACATGAGTTATAAAAATGTGCAAGTGACTCGTTTATACTTGTAAATAATTGAAATGATTTTTAAAATTTTTCAAAAATTCAATTTATCCTTGTAAAAATTTTATTTGGGGGTGCCACGTCAGCCACGCCCCCTCTTTCTAAAATTTTGGGGTTGTGGGCCCGCGAAAGCTCTAGGAAGCATACCAAAATTTTTTTCGGAGCCTTCCCCCCCCCCCCCCCTCTCTCTCTCTAACAGTAATCCTGGGCACGCCGTTGGTGCCAAATATTAGACTTTGTCAAAGTTTCTAGAGATTTTCAGTGGAAAATAAAAAAAAAGTTTCTCAAAACTTTTGTTACGACCTAATACAATAGGTAAAATATAACTCCGACAGGGCTAGAAACCCGTCTTCATTCATGAACTCCAAGAGAGTATAATATGTAAAACTGAAAACATCACGTAATTTTTAACTCACAATCAGTGATCGACCCATTCCCGTAATTGTGCAGTTGTGTGATAGTGATATGATAGGTGAGAATATTGGAATATAGTACAGACATGCATATCGTACATAGTGCGATAAAAAATAGAGGTAGCTGTAATTCACATTCATGGTCTAACCCTTGCGGTATTGGACCTACCTACCGAGTTACCTCTAAAGGTATCGTTCTTACGGTCGTCAATGACGGTTCTATCAAAAACTTTTGACATAGAACTGTGCGTACGAGTGAAATGTGAAATAACAATGGGACGCTGCGGAAACTTTGTTTTCCACTCGTAAAATTCATGACGATTGCGTTTGATTATTATGCAAAGCGGATTGTCGCTGCCATGATTTTGGAAGTTCTCTTACGCATCCACATGGAAACAGTTGAAAGTGGGGTCGGTTAGGATCTCTGTTACGCTTACGTTGTGCTTTAGGAACACCCGTACTTTGGTGTACAGTTAGGAGCGGATTCGTGAGGAACAAAAAAAAGGGGGAGGGTGTTTAAGAAGGTTCTTCCAGTAATTCTTTTACTTCACGTTTTCTCGGTCAATACTGGAAGATCTGACAGCTGCTGGTTTTGGAATGGTTCGAAATCTAATCTTACTAACAAGATGATTTTATGAGATATACAAAAATCTGCGTACTGCTCTAGAACCTTGAGTTGATTCTGTTCTCTAAGCGATCTTCAATGATACTACTTCTATGTATTATCCCATTTGAGCCATTCGTAAGTGAAACTTCCTGGAAAAAAATTCCAAACGTATTTCTTGAAAATTATACTTATTGTCAAGTTTCTAAGAGTGAACCACCAAATTCTTATTTTATCACTAACCTGCAAAATTATCAGGTTGTCAAGAAAATAATGTCGTTTTTTATTTGCTTGCTTTAACAAAGACACCAGACTCAACCCAACAAAGGATAATACGCACTGTTCGATAGAGCAAAGCAAGCTCTACAAGATGGCCTCCATGATTTTGCGACAAACTCGATCCACGGAAAGTCCGAAATCAAAATCTGAAGATCTCCAAATGACCAAAAAATCGAAAAAAAATCAGATCTTCGTCCAAATAATTTCTACGGACCTCCCACTCGCACTCATCAGTACTTACGATAAGTGAGACCGATATGTGCAGTTGCTGTATTTTCTCCTTGACTAGAAACTGAGAAAACGAAGATTTTCGTGTTTTTTTGAAAGCAATGCTGAGCCGTTCTTGCATATGTGATTCTATACTACAAGCCTAGTTAAGTATAACTGTAGATTTTCAGCCCATTCCGAGCGGCACTTTTCGAGAAATGCCGCTTTCAGCACTGAAACTGAAACGAAGAAAGCTGATTTCGATATTTCTCGAAAACTACCGCTCGGAATGGGCTGAAAATCTACAGTTATACTTACCTAGGCTTGTAGGTATAGAATCACATATGCAAGAACGGCTCAGCATTGCTTTTGGAAAAACACGAAAATCTTCGTTTTCTCAGTTTCTAGTTAAGGAAAAAATACAGCAACTGCACATAGGGGGTACCACTCATCGAAATTACTGATGAGTGCGAGTGGGAGGTCCGTAGAAATTATTTGGACGAAGATCTGATTTTTTTCGATTTTTTGGTCACTTGGAAATCTTCAGATTTTGAGTTCGAACTTTTCGTGGATCGAGTTCGTCGCAAAATTATGAAGGCCATCTTGTAGAGCTTGCTTTGCTCTATCGAACAGTACCTATTACTCTTTGTTGGGTTGAGTCTGGTGGCTTTGTTAAAGCAAACAAATAAAAAACGACATTGTTTTCTTGACAACCTAATAATAGGTAGCCCAAGAAAGTTTTTTTTTCCAAAAAGCGTTTTAAGATTTGTCCATTCTCACGAACGAATATCAAATTTTTGCCATTACTTGAATTTTATAGTCCTTTTATAGTCTTCTCTTTCATAAGCCTTCTATGCTTTATTATTATGCAAAGTTCCATTTTTTGATGTTTTATTGGTGCGAATTTATTACAACCCAACTATAGCTTTGTTTACACAACAATTGTTTGACTCGAGAAACCCCGCTCACTTAGAACACTCTTCAAGTCAGAATCTTCGGTTATTAGAATTCTACTTAATTTATAACTTTGAAAGTTGAGTCCCCGGAAAATTTTTTGGCAAGCTGGACTTTGGAGCGGGGATTTACAGCGCATTATTATAGCAGTCAGTATACTCATAACGCCCCTCAAAGTCCCTTTGATCCCGCGGATTAAAGTAGAGAACAAGGTTTTTGCGCGAACTCACAAGTGATCTGAACAAAGATCACGTCATATCCAAAAAGCTATATTTTCCCATCTTGTCAATTTTTGTCGCGTAATCTGAGGAATGTATCGTCTAATCGATGTGAATCGAGCCTGCCTAGCTTTGTTCATATTCTTGCTATTCTCTCTTGCGTGGAAATGCATCAATGACTACCAACTGCTGAGTATTTGCGACGAAACGCGTCGTCTATCTGGAAGTCTCTCAAGTAAGTAAAAATTTACCACAACGGTTTTTCTCGAGTGAATAACTGAATATAGCTTTTCGCTGTACTATCATAGTTGCTTTTGATTTTCAGAAAGTGATCAAATACCTTCAGTTAGCAAATTTGGAATAAAAAGGAAAAAAGCCCATCGTCACAAATATGAGAGCCTTGTAGAGCAGCCACATATTCTAAGCATTTTAGTCACTCAAGAAGAGAATGTTTTGAAGGCGGACCATATCGAGCACTGCGTAGGAGATGAAGCAGCGGAGTGTATACCTCCTATCTATCCATATGTACAAAATTATAGGGTGAGTCTTTTGTACCAGCTGTCTGCATAGCAAATGCTGCTTACTCACAAGATCTAGTAAGGATTTTCCGACAAAGTGTGTCATTGTTGTAAATTCCAAACTCTATTAGAGTCTTCTTACAATACAAATTTTACTGTTTTCCACGTACCTAGAAATCACCTCATCTTTAGTCCTAATTTGTTACTTCGTTCAGTCAGGGTAATAATCAAAGCTACAGAGTATCTCAATTGCAGTGGCGGGTGCACCAGCGGCTCGTGTCCCGCGTGGCCGCCTTGTAGGGCTCTCATCGCGTTCGCAAATGTGTTTGATCATTTTTCTTCGCCCAATCAACGATTAAAGCTTAGATCTGAGCCCTTTCCCACGCTCAGATAAAAATGACCAGACGACATGTGCGGACGCGGCGCAGGGTTGCGCGGGATCCGAGCTGCTGGTGCATTGGCCACTGCAGTTGAGATCGCCTGTATGTACGGTTACGTAAAATTGCTGAGCCAAAGATCGAGTAATATTTGACTTTTCCGATTTTTTCTCAAACTGAGCGGTATCATCATATTTCTTCTGCGTGAGCAAAGCATTACGATCAGTGTCAACTCTGTTTTTTCTTTAGGGCCGTCGTATGTGTCGAATGTGCCGCCGGATTTTTCTTTTTTTCCTTATTCCAATGGGAGAATGTCGAAACCAAGTTATTCAGGTATCACCCAAGTATCATCTTCTTGCATGTACGATCGAAAAGAACTTCTCTACAATGCTGACTGCTATATTGTGCTATTTGTATGATGAAAATCGCTTTATTCAGAAAGGAAGAAACATTTCCACTGACACTTATCGCAGAAGGTAAGCACTACTTTGAATGCTATCCGTATCCCTTGATTTTTATTATCATGTTGAAGGTCATGTGCAAAACTCAATGAGTACAAGTCGCTCAAAGCTGTGCATAGTGCCTTGAATGTGAGCAAATGGAGCATGATTGCGGTAGTACGCAATCCGTTGAATAGATTCGTTTCCGGGTTTGCGAATAAGTGCTTAATGTGAGTGAATATTAGGTCGGCACAAATGTTTGTTCGCACCATTTTCAAAAATCCATAACTTCTCGACCTCTCAAAAGATTTGCAGAATTTTGCCTTTGTCTAAGGCCTAAGGCACACCTCACGCGACCGAATCGCCACTTTCACGCGACTTGGTGATTTGCCAAATTTCTATAAATTTATCATGCGCACTTCTCGGACGCATATCTGAGTAGCTTGTGTAGGCTGTTGCAAACAGAGCAAGTTCTGACCAAAGGCAGCGCATTGACGACAAATTACGAGGAGTCGCTGTTGTGTCAAATCGCGCAGGGACCGAAATCGCGCGAGGTATGCCTTAGGCCTAAGAGGGAGATTACACCCTTAGATCAGCATTTGAAAGACTTTCTGACGCATAAACAAAAAGATAGATACTGTAGAAAAACCCAAATATTTCTGCGTACAACTGACAAAACTCTGAATTTTTGTACTGAAAAATAAGGCGGTTGTTAACATGAGTTGTATTACCTGCTTTTCCTATCTGAGAGAACTTTCGTGCTATGCGTTTCTAAGAAAAGTTACAATATCTGGGAATGCCAAATATTTTGTACTTCTATCTCGGAAGTAAATTTCATAGAAAAGCTTAATCGGTACAGTTTTTGCTCAGATGGAAGCGCAGTTCATAAGACTCGTAGCACCAACTGTTCCAAATTTTTAGTGCTAGTTTCAGAATTTGGGCAGGCTTACAAGGAAATACCAAGATTCAGGTTTTATCAAGTTTGCAGTTCTATCTCAGCAGTGTAGAGCTTTTAATTGCTCTAGTAAAACCCATAGTATTTTATAGCAGAGCTGAAATTATGCAAATACTTTGAGAAAGTAAGAATTTTTGAAGATGATGCGAACAAATTTTCGCGTCGACCTAAGATTTATCTTCTCAAGAACTGCTCATTTATCAAGATCTTTACAGAGAAGAAGTTTGGAGGAAGTTCCCAGATCGCTGTAACAGATGCGAAATGGTGAGTTTTATACTTATTAATTAGACCTGCTTTCCTTCGAACGTCTCTATAAAACAAACAATGTTCAGAGGTTAGATATGTGTGCACTTTGTTTTGAAGGCAACTTTTTACCACTTTCTTCTGAAAAACCAGTAGTAAAGATTTCGTCTCTCAGTTTGTTTACTTTTTCTTAAATGCTACCCATTAGAGAATTTGACCTGCTTTATGGAAAGGCAATACTCGAGGATGAAGCAGTGGACACGGCGAGCATACACAAAGCCAAATTTCGACGATAATCATTTCTTTCCTCAAAATTGGTTAGTAAGTTGCACATGAACAGGTTTGCAATTCACTAGTTGAGTTCTTATTGTCAAAACATATTTAAGGCGCTGCGAATTCAATTCATATCTACATTCCTACAAAATCCTTCGATTTGACACCTTCAATCCTTCACCATTTATCGACGATTTATTGCGAATATTGCGCAAAAACAATGTATCTGATAAATCAAGAAAATTCATAAGTGGGTCACTTTGATAACAAATTTCCATAGTCTAAATTTATAGTTACAGTGGCAGTAAATAGCTTGACGTTTGCAGAATTAAAAAGAAAATAAGAAGTCTTGATCAATTTTGTCAATAATCAAACTTTTCAGGAGCGTCACTCAGCTCGGGACGCACATCTCATAGTACCCACGAGTCAGCTGAGCAACTTCAGACAAGGACAGCCATTCTTTCAAGCAATTATCTCACAAACCTTTTAGTCAAAATGTATTACTATGACTTTACTATCTTTGGATTTCAAATTCCAGAGACCATCGCTGCTTGACATGTACTACTGCTTCACTGCAAATTATATTCGTTATCGCGGCGCACTTTTTCAAGCTTTAGCTATCTTCCCTGTATGATTATGAATTCCTATCGACCTTTTCTTTATAGCATGAGCCCCACCGATCATTCTGACTTGAATATTCTGCTTTTGGGTTAGCACAAGTAGCTGCTAGCATGTTGTGTCTGTTGAATTCTCATCGGTTATACCCTCTGATTCAATTGGCTTGGCGGCTGGAAGGCGAGGCTTCTGACCTAATTAAGGCTAAGAAGTGATTAGAGAGCAGGCGCGAACAGAGACACAGGCTGCGTCGCGGGCGCGAGCGGCTTTGATTAGATCACAAAGTCCCGCCTTCCAGCCGCCAAGCTACCCTATTTTCAGGTGTATAAGCCGCACCCTTTTCGCTCTAAAGGCGAAAACGCCAAAAGACTGACTGTCATCATGGAGCGCGTTACGTGAGAGCAGTATGCGATAAGGCGACCGCTTCGCGAGACATATGCGCGGCGGCACGCCTGGGTCTGCTCGCGTTTAGAGCAAAAAGGGTGCGGCTTATACACCTGAAAATAGGGTATTTGAACCAAAGGTTATCTATGTCACAAAGACCACTTTTGTTCTTTTTTCCCCCTGAGCTAAATTGCTGGTTGATATCTTGTCTGAATTATACTTATATTTTTGTAGTTTCTAGAATGCTTTTTTGTTGCTGAATACTGTGGGGTCAAGAGTTTGAGTTTGTGGTAGTTCAACTTCTCAGACAATCACAGGCTCTCAGCGGGCCCCACCAAAAGCGTCGTTGCCTTATCGCAGCCACTGTCGCTTCCCGCTGAGAGCTTTGTCGGAGCTTTGTCGGAGCTTGTCGGAGCGGGCTCGCTGCCCGCTGAGCCCGCTCCGACAAGCTCCGACAAAACTCCGACAAAGCTCTCAGCGGGAAGCGACAGTGAGGCGATGAGGTCACCGCGCTTTTGGTGGGTCTAGGCGGTGGCTTTGTGGCTGCCGGCTGAGAGCATTTGATTGTCCGAGTTTTCCTTTAATACAACTTGTTGGGTGAATCTCGTAAATTAACACGTCTTGGATCGCGAAATCGCGCGCGGCGAAAAAGAGTGTACTTTCAGCAGTTAGCCAACAAAGGGACCTTATTTCGCAGATTGTGGGCTAGATCTGTGATCAGCATGTCAAATAAGTTCCATGTCTAAAGTTCTGAGTGAATCTGAAGTGTTTCAATTTTGTCGCTTGAGAGGGACTTTCGTGCTTTATTGAAAAATAGGAACAAGAACTCAGTTTCAAATAGCGTTTAAAAGTATCTGTGTTGTACACTGTACACATCATCATTGAAACTACGGTTTTTCTTTTTGATATCGAAGCAAAGAAAAGTTGCGACGTCGCACGCGTCGCTCGCGTTGCCGCACTTCGTCTGTTATTCGATTTGTCCCCATATCTTCTAAACAAATATCGGCGGGACAGCTCTATAGAGTCATTTGAAAAGTAGGAGCTTAGATCTTTGACATAATAACCTTGGACTAAAAGAAAACCTCCTGTAAACGTCAGAAAGATCCTTCAAAGCAGCGTGCTGCACCATGTGCAGCATCGGTCCGAAACGTGTTAATAAAAGAAAGTGTATGAATGGTTGATAAAAACTGTTATGTACCTGCGCCATTATGATGCATTGTTGCAGTAAGCCCCCCAAAAGTCTATCATGTTTAGATCCACACATTTGATGTTTTAAGCATTAACTACAATTCCAATTCATAATCCCGTCTTCTCAAACAGGACTTGGCAAGGGCAGCACTTGTGCAGGCTAGTATCGCCTTTGAGAAGAATGTGAGGAGAAACACGTGTCTCGCGGGAGAGTCGAGAAAAAAGTTGAGCACATTTGAAAGACAAAAGAAGGTAAGTTAGTACTAAAAATCATTTCCATTGATCCCTCAAAACGATGCTTGTGTGAATACAGAAATTCCAATTTGACAGTGCTGGCAGCACACATACACGGGCTCCAGCAGAATGCGACAGAAGCTTCTTTTACAAAGCAGAGGAGTGACAGGGAAATGCTGCATAGAAGTGAGACGAAATATTATTATTGTGGTTGTAAGCCGCACTCGAGATTGATAACAACTATTTATTGGCTGACGTTTCGGCAGATCGCCTTCTTCAGAGCCTGGAATGGACAAAACGAACCGCAACCTATTCGATCAAATATCTCTGCAGCTTCACAAGCAAAGTTCTAAGACGATGCCTAATCTCTGTGTAGACCGCTAAACCAAACACTTATCTTTTTGAAAGCGCCGATAGCATACAGGTGCCTGAGCGAGCGCTACTGACTGATCATATATGTCACGCTATTTATACCCTTCACTGAGTCAAAAGAGGTGACCCAGGTAAGGAGCGAGTTCACGAGTGATTGCGAGGCACTCCTCTTTGCGATTCATTTCTAGACTTTTTGCGTGAATCCAAAAGCCTTCCAAACATTTGCGAGCTGATGTTTGGGATTCATGCGCCAAGATCTTCACTGTAACTTCAAAGTTTTCTCCCGCGTGCTTCACCAGCCTGTGAGTGCCTAGAGGTGTGGTCGTGCGTGATCTATCTCTACCGTCCAGATGCTCTTTGATGCGAACGCATAGGGGGCGCGCCGTTTCACCGATATACATGTCGCCGCAGGCCGCGCAGGTGACCAGATAGATGCCGACGTCATACAGTCCCCGCCCCTGCCCTGAGACGAAATAGTAAAGATTTCCTTTCCTTGCCGCATAGCTCGGCATGATGGAACTTTTATTGAACCATCATTACAGCATTTGCCGTCGTAGAAAGGTTGTGAAAGGTTGTGATCTATGTACAGGGCTTATCAATTGCAGAGTAGGGTGCACCAGCATCTGTACTCCCGCGCGGCCGTTTCGCCTGGACTCTGCATCTTGAGCATCTCTCTAATTACTTTTGCAGGCTTAAGCGATTGAAGATCCGCCTTGCCGGTCATGACGGGAAAGTGGTATGAGAGCATGTCTGCGAAAGTCCACAGTTCAGGCGAGGGAGCAGAGATGTGGTGCACGCGACTGTGCAGTTAGTAAGCCTTGTACCGTTTTTACTATGTCGCCACACACTTCTTCAACGTAGGCACATCGAATGAGCAAACCAACCTTCAATCCACCGTAGAGTTAGTAGCCCGCACTAAATGTGTGACAGACATCAGTGAGCCGCCGGTGGGTCATGATACTTACAGTGTGCGTTATCGTGCTCACACAACGATAGCAATGGCGGCAGATCACTTGTTCCTCAGATATTCTTGTTGTTCATACTTGGACTGCGAAATTACATCCATTCCTTCGCAATGGTCTTTCGTGCCAGAATGTCAGTCTTAAAGGCAGTGCCCGGGCAAAAACTCCATTTTGAGAATTTGTGCTTACCCGGGCCTATTCGCCATGCTGTTCGAAAATCCACATTGGAAAGCGCGAAAACGGCGAAAAAGGGCTCTAACAGGAGGGTAATCACAAGTGGGCGGGATCTTCCCCACTGTGAATTTTGCGGTCTCAATTTCTGAAGCGATTTTCTCAATTCCGCTAGCGCCCTGAGATCTCCACAGGCCAGGTGCAAATGCATGACTTGAAATCGGGACCGAGAAGATCGCTTCGGAAGCTTGGAGCGTGAATCCGCAGTGGGGAAGACCTTGCCCACTTCTGATTCCCCTGCTGCGTTAGAGCCCTTTTTCGCCGTTTTCGCGCTTTCCAATGTGGATTTTCGGATTCAACGTAGTGATTAGGACCTGGTAAGCACAAAATCTCAAACTCGACTTTTTGCCCGGACACTGCCTTCAAATGATACTAAAGCTAGACGCTAAATTTAATGCGATCGTACTCTTCGAACTTATGTTGCTTCACAGATATAGTTAGCTCTGAGTGCTCGCTTACTCTGGTGCTTGAAGGGTCTACCAGTCTCTCCAATGTGCATTGTCCTGCAACTCAATCATTCCTTTGGTAGACGACCGTCATTTCGCGCAGTTTCCAAGTTTTTCATGTGTCCAAACAATAGTCCTTTGACACACACTCAAAATCGTAAGCTCTGCCCCTAACCAACCGTTTTTCAATATTATCACTGGGAATGTCGATTAGCACGGCGTCATTTTGTTTTCCAAATTTTATCCACTACGCTCATTGGCGTTCCTTACAAACAAACAAAAAAAAAAACACATACACAGTTATTTATGAAGTTGTGTTCGCAGAATTCATCGTTTTCCGCGCTGACTTTATCGGAAACGAAGGGCATGTACACAGAGATTTTGATGTCAATGCTTTCCGTGAGACTAAGGATTCTGCAGCAGTCGTATTGTCTTCTACGTGATCAATCTGTTGCAACCATATGGCCCTACAACAAGCAAATTCAGCCGCCAGTCGCAGTGACTCTTCGCTAGTCAATGATTGTATGGTCAACTCGTTGACCGCACGGACTGGACATCACTGCGGAGCACGCGCCGCGAGGTAGAACACTTGCCTTAGTACAACTTCGTCATTGTACAAGTCGTGCTCTCGCAGCAGTTCAGCCGCGTCGCGCGCGTGGTCCGCAGCGTTTGAGCAGTCGTGCGATCAACGGATCGACGATACATCTATAACAGTTTCAAATATGTTGAATGATAGCATGTAAATGTGAATAGTATTGGCAGATAAGCTTTCTGCATATTTGGAAGGGAAAGCCATTAATCGCGATTTGCGTCAACCATATTTACTACCTACTAGTTTAATAATTCGGAAACATTTATCCACTCCGGATTGCGTTGAATTGCAATACAGCAATCATTGATGTATCGACAATTTATCATCGATAAGCGTGCGTGTACTGTGTTCGATCTTACTCGTCTTACACAATACGGACAGCCGCAAATCTCTGACTCATCGCAAGTTCTCTCAAAGATTAGTAATCCTCGGACCACTTAAATATGTCACATTGGTGCTATCATGTTTCAATGGCAGACCGAGCGAAGCCGTGTACTACAGCTAAATATAGTTTGAAACAATTTTGTAGAAAAGAGCTTGGTCAAAGCCCCAGGCTCAAAAAATCATTTGCCAAAGAATGTCTAACATCAGGAGGGAAATCACCATGCTGCATGAGGCAGTTGGAGCCAAATTTATTTGATAAAGCGTTTAAGAGGTTGCTGAAATATCAGTGCACCTATTTAGCATCAACTTTGTGGAAATGGCTTCATAGCTTCAGGAAAGTAGAGCCAATAAGCGGTTGCGATTGCCTGAAAAAAAAGCGATGGCAATTAAAGTAGATTAGAAACGGTACACGCAGACTTGCGGTTGCAGATAAAAGTGCGTGAATGTTAGCAGATAAAATTGAAAGGACTGACTAATGCTGAGTGAAATTCCTCAAGTTTCCTTCTCTCAGTTCAGATTTCGAAAATGCCAAACGTGGGTCTCCAATCACCGCCACTACGAGAATCACTACAAAGAAAGGTGAGAATATGAATATTTCTAAAACAAGCTAACATATCGTGAAACACAGTAACTCTTGCAATCGAAGCACAAGCCTTTCCGTTACGTTGAAGTTGTGGATAAAGGATGTGGTGCCTTCCAAGAATAGTGCCTCAAAGTATAGCCGAAAAGACATGCTTCATTGGGAATTTTTTGGTATAACTCGCTTGCCGTTAATCAACAATGAAATAAAAAAGTTGAAAATTTACAGAACATTATGAATCCTTTACTATCTGCTAATGATAAAGAATGGTGGAGGCTGTATCGCATTGGAGACAAAAATCCGTTCATGTAAATCCATACATATCATTATCACAGCAACATTCAAGTGAATGCAATTCAAGACGAGATATAGAACTGTAGTCATTAGCTAGTGACACTGCATGTTTCTGCCCTTGATCCAGCTTTTTGTGAGGGGTAAAAAAAGATAATCCAAACTAGACTAGACCATTATAGAGTAATTTCATTTTTTAGCTGCTGTTCATTTTAGGGGTTTAGCCATTTGCACTTTTAAATCTCTACAGTCACGTTTCATTAAAACGTACAGACATATGAGTATCCCAAGAAGGCTTGTGCTGTATTATTTATTCAAATTCTAAGTAAAGCCCAAACTGCTGCATAATGTTGCCTCTGCGTAGGCGTGAAATGTTGCTAATTCTGTTGTCTCTATTTATGTTTTATAGTCTCCTGTCAGAAATTTGCACAAGAAACAGTAGAGACAGCGAGGATGGTAAGATGCTCAGTGTGCACTCATTTTTAATATTGAAGGAGAATTCTTCACCTTCGTTATATAGGATTTGATCGCTTATTAGTTGCGCTTACAGTAAGCTATGCTCAAAAACTCTGTCTGGGAAAAACTCCATCAGCATGCATTCCACCTCTTCAAACCTTTCCTGCGGCTTATAAAGTAACTGGACTTTCTATTTTGGTCGCAAGTTGTAGCATCTATGTAGTTGATATCAACAACTGACCTTTAGACTGCAAATCCTTATCACTTGCTAGCATGCACTATACAAAAAAACTTTTCTACAATGCTGACTGCTATCATATGCTACCTCTACAACGAAACTGCATTTATAGAAAATGGCAGGATCATTTCACAAGAACTCTATTTTGAGAGGTAAAGTGAACTTGGTAGATCTTATATCTATTCCATGGCCGCCTCAATCCGCTTGCAGATTCTGCAAGGATAGCAATGAATACTGGTCTTTATCCGCAATTTCACAGAAGCTTGACACTGATCTACGCATATGGACAAAGCTTGCAGTAATACGCGATCCTTTTGAGCGATTCGTATCTGGTTTTGCTGACAAATGCCTAAAGTGAGAGGACACATCTTGTAAAAAAAAGGTTTCCTTTGAGTTTTATTCCAAAACATATTTAGAAGGCGAGAATGGGAAGGTTTTCCCCTACGCTGTGGCGGATGCACAACGGTACGTTTTACAAACTAGCAAACAACATCTTAGAAACATATTTCAGAATTTGACCTGCTTCATGGAGAAATTGTACTATAAGATGATGCAATGGAGACCCGATTCAGATAAACGAGACTTTGACGCTAATCACTTTTTTCCGCAAAGTTGGTAGGAAACAAGTTCTTTTTTTTTCGCGTTTCGAAGGCATTGCCTTGTCCAAACATAGCTAAAAGATTTCTAGCGATGCAAATGCTGGGCCAAGTTCAAAAAATTCAAATGCATCCAGGCTCTATTCGCATAGTCTCAGTGGCATGGCAAAATTGCTTTTTAAACTGCTTGAGCTGCATACCGGGAATCCAAGTACCGTTGCAAAAAGCGACCTCTAATGCGAGTCCATTAGTTTGAAAATGATCGAGGGCAGCTTTTTTATAAGCGGAACCACGTCCTCATTGCAAGGGATTAGCAATATCCACACCCAAAAACTCGTTCTTGATAGGCACAAAAAAGTAATTAAAACGGATTTTGTGCCTGTTTGCGTTCAATATGCTTAGTAGTAGCCAAAGCTCAAAACCCAAGTACCTTTTGATTCAACTGCTTTGGCGCGCGCGGGAGAGACGCAGACTGTGTCGCGGGCGCGGGCGGCCTTAATCAGGTTACAAAGCTCCGCCTTCTAGCCACCAAGTCAGTTGAATCAGAGGTTGGACGACATCCTCAAATGTTCAGAAGCCACTTTCTGCATTTCCGTAAATTTTCGTGGAACTCACCGATTGTGTGCAACAAAGTATCTGTCGTTTTTCACATGAGCTTCCTTTTGAGAACATATTCGTCAAAACCCCTTTGCAACTTACCAAACCTTTTTTAAAAATTTTGAATTCGAGAACACTGCCTCAGACAAAGTCATTTTGGTGATGCTTGGTGGCAAAACAACGGTATAGTCAGTAATGCGACCAAAGGCAACTCCTAGAGTAATTTTTATTTTTCCCTAAACCATGACCCCGCGAGGCAAATGCCGTCACAGCTATCCTGCAAGAATTGACTGAGAATGCACTAGAATCCGACGTACTCCTCAAATCTCCCCCCCCCCTTCCAATAAATTAACATTTGTTCGACTTTCTTGCAAGTTATATGAGCGGTGCTTGCATTGATTTTGAAGAAAATTTTAGACGCTGGCTGAATCTTTTTTGGGAACGACACGCTTATGAAAGATGGGAATAAGGATCTGGTGGCAAGGTGTCAAAAAATTGTACGAGGCGACAAAAAAATATCTTTCCGATGGTTTTCGATAAAAACTGTTTATTTTTTGATTAATACAAACCATAGGTGCGACAGGGGGAGCAGGATCCCCTCCAGGTGAAGGAGGTTTGGCTATTTCTGACCTAGAAGAGTGAAGGGATTAACTGGACCTAAGATGAATGCTGACGCAAGCTTACATGTCTAACGGGAGCGGGAGTGAAAAGAAGGAACATAAGTGGTACAATACCACCCACATAACTTGCAAAATTTACGTGAATGTCGCGAGATTCCGAAAATTCCGCGAAATTCCCGAAATTTCGCGGAAGTTCGTGACATTCTCGGAATTTCGCGATGTTCCGGGAATTTCGCGGAATTTTCGGAATTTCGCGAAATTCACGGAAATTTTGCACATTCTGTGTATTGTATTTGGCTGATCCTTCTATATATAAAGCTGAATGTCTGTTTGTCTGTCTGTCTGTATTATGTCTGTATGTCTGTATGTCTGTGTGTACGTATGTTCCGAATAGAAAATTCCATTTCTGAACCGATCCGGACCAAACTTGGCACACATACACTTCGGGCCCCGGCGGGTGTCATAGGCTACTTTTCGTCATCGATCGATGTCGATTTTATCGATTTTATCGATTTTTTTGCAAAGTTTGAACTACGGGGCTGGGAGTTTGCACAGGGGGGTAATCAAGCATGCTGATTACGAGTTCGATATTAGTTTGGCGCTATTCGGCTAACCGGGCCCCAAAATTTTTTTGTCGTTGAGCTTGCTCAGATTCGTGTACAGTGCTGGCCAAAACTATAGATCCACTATAAAAAACTGCCGTAGTTCATCTGCTTCTCAACGAATTGATCTGAGATTTGGTACAGTTGTGTGTTCAACAGGCATTCATCAGTGACCGGAGCGGATTCCGCTTTCGTTAGATTATTCAGGAAAAAAATTAAAAATTTCGAAAAAAGCAGGCTCGAAGGCTGGCCAAAACTATAGATCCACCTAAAATTTCTGTCTGCTAACGTGACTCTTAGCTTCCAAAATCTTTTGTGCATAAACCTAGTCGAAAGTCAAAGCAGTGGGTTTAGTTTAGCTGCGTCATACCTTTATAAGAAACGCTTATCTGCTTTTTTTCCACTCAAAAACTGCTCTCATGCGTATTTTGTTCCCGAGAATGTGTTTTTGTAGAGAATTCCGCACTTTTTTGACTGGTTTGAAAGTGATAGGACTCCATCTATCTTGTAGATGCTTAGTAGCGTGAGCAGCAGAAAAAAATTCGGGTTTTCGTATCCAAAGCGCACCTGACACAGACATAACCGTAGGCCTGCGCTCGAATTTTTGCCTTCAAAATTGGTATCCGCTATTTTTATAAGCTCAAAATAATGTAGAAGCATTATTTAGCATTATTCACCTAAAAAGAAGTTTGTAAACTATAGTTACGATTGCTTGCGAAGTCGCACTTTAATTCTTTTTCAAAGCATAAGTCTTGCGGTGTGTTCGGCAATCTCAAAGTACTTACCAACTGGTACCTTCTTTGAATTTTGCCACTTTTTAGCTGCTAACTATTGAATACACCCTGCAATATATGTTGCCTTGTGATTCACATGAGCATTATGGTCAGAAGCAGAAATAACTTCAAGGCTTGTTGCAAATCACTATTTGCAGGATGAAGTCCTCAATTAGCCTGCATACTAGGATCTGCAGAAACCTGCAACCACTGCACACGGACTCTCATACATACCAACAATGCAACTACTCCAGTTCACGCTCATGACAACGTTGCAGAAAGAGCTTGAAGGCATAAATTTGAACGCAGGTCTGCGGTTAGGTCTATGTCAGGTGCGCTTTAGATACAAAACCCGAATTTTTTTCTGCTGCTCACGCTACTAAGCATCTACAAGATAGATGGAGCCCTATCACTTTCAAACCAGTCAAAAAAGTGCGGAATCCTCTACAAAAACACATTCTCGGGAACAAAATACGCATGAGAGCAGTTTTTGAGTGGAAAAAAGCAGATAAGCGTTTCTTATAAAGGTATGACGCAGCTAAACTAAACCCACTGCTTTGACTTTCGACTAGGTTTATGCACAAAAGATTTTGGAAGCTAAGAGTCACGTTAGCAGACAGAAATTTTAGGTGGATCTATAGTTTTGGCCAGCCTTCGAGCCTGCTTTTTTCGAAATTTTTAATTTTTTTCCTGCATAATCTAACGAAAGCGGAATCCGCTCCGGTCACTGATGAATGCCTGTTGAACACACAACTGTACCAAATCTCAGATCAATTCGTTGAGAAGCAGATGAACTACGGCAGTTTTTTATAGTGGATCTATAGTTTTGGCCAGCACTGTATAAGGGTTATCTTACATGCTGATTACAGATATCACACTTTCGTCGCAGAAAGTCTCCCCATGTGGTTACGATAGGTGTACGGTAGAAGCCAAAATCATGAATTCGGCTGGAGTTCGGTCCAGAGAACTTATTCGACATGCTGATTACGAATTTCATACTCTCTCTGCATATTGGGACCTTTTCATAGAGTTAGGGTGGTTATATATGGTGTGGGGTCTAAAACATAGATTTGCTTCAAACTTCGTCTAGGGTGGTCATTTAGCGCGCTGAACATAAATATCATGTTGATTCCGCAGGATGGTGCATTTTCTTGGGTTACGGTGGGTGTAGATGGGTCGAAGTTCCAGATTTGCTCAAAACCTTACCTGTAACGGTTCACAAGTATACTGCCTATGTATTTATATGAAAGTTGCTCACTGTTATAACGCATTAGTGAAGTATGGTGAGTTGCAGAATTTGAATGGACAGGGCCAATTTAGATCCCAGATATTTATGAAATGGGGAAACGGTCGTTTTACATGGCGGTCTCCAGCGCCATCCTGATAACCTGTCCCAACGTGTAACGCACGCGGCAAATCTACCTCCCCCTGATTTGCTTAGGCAAAAGTCGCCGAAGGGTGTATCGCACGCGACAAATGTCTCTCCCCATATTTCTGCTTAGGCAAAAGCCGCCGAAGGGTGTCTCGCGCGCGCCAATGGTCCTATAAGGGAAAGCATTACGGTCGTGGGAAACTTTTATACCACACGAATTCCCTTTATCGTGGGGATTGAGCACGATATTCTTGAAACAGCACTCTAGGTAATTTTCTGCCAAGGTTTCAGGCAGGTTCACGATTTTTAACCGCTGCCATGTACCTACCGTAACTCTGCGAAAAGGTCTTAAAATGCAACGAGAGTATTTCAGACGTGGTCAGAAAGTCGAATCTTTATAGACCGAATTTCAGCCAAAACTGAGATTTCGCCCCTCTGCAGTATACCTTCATAACTCAGAGAAATCGCCTCAAAATGCCGAAGGAGTATGATATTTGTAATCAGCATGTCAATTAGCCCCCCTCAAAGTTTCAGCAAAATCCATGCTTCTTATGTGTACCCAACGTAAACCCAGAAAATGGCGCTGTATCGCGCGAAATGACTACGATAATCGTCATCAGCGGCTTTGGTAATCCCCATGTGCCGAGTTTGAGCAAGATCCATCACGAAAACATTTTGGGGCCGGATAGCCGAATAGCGCCATCAGTTTTCAGTATTATCCTTACTTTTACCGGTTTTATTGCTTTTTTTGCAATATTTGAGCTACAGGGCGGGGGGTTGTTGAGGGAGGTAGGTGGGGATGCTAATTCCTAACACAGCGGGAATAGGGAATTGCATGTAGAAGTGGGCACAAGAAAGGTTTTACAGGGATAGGGATAAAACCTTAATCATAGCATTGACAGGGCCGGGCGGAGCCGGGTAAGCCAGCTAGTAAACTGATAAAATGGTAATTTTCTCATCTGCTGCTAGCAGATAAACATTAGAAACGGCTTGTGAATTTTTTCATTCAAACCTTCATGCTGAAGTGATTTATAAGCTTATTCACAATTATGACAATGCCATACAGTTATGACAGTGGAATGTGAAAATTATCGGCGAGATCGGCGATGTCGGCGAATTCGGCAAAACCGGCGAAAAACGCAAAGCCGCCGCAAAGTCATAACTGTTTGAATGCATGTATGAAGCAAATCTTGTAATTTCCGCTTACATGGATTACTCGACGTGCTAACAACATTTCTTATATTTTTTGTTGCTGGTGGCACATTGTAGGATAGAATATCTGCCAAATTACACATATTTCAAATTTGAAAGACAATCCATGAGAAAATGATTAACATCATAATCTGACGAACAATGCAGATAAAGGTCTGTGCTTAGCATGGTCCGGTAGAGGTGATCACAAAGTTTTGAACTCACAAAAATATGCAGACAATTTCCGCAATAGATAGACAAAAAGTGCAGCGGATTTGCGATTTTGATTGGTTGAGCCACATCTATCTCACTTTAGCTTTACTGTAAGACTCTCTAGTGCAAAATAAATAAGATTTTCCTAAAGATTGGGACCAAAAACCACTATGAGCGAAGTTTCCGGTCAATCCGAGAACCTCAATATTTTGACCAAATCTTGCGCCGAGGCCAAGAGTGAGGAGCGAGAAAAAATCAAGTGCTACTAGTTCCTTAGAAAATTGAACCATAGATGTTATCCAACCCTTTGATTACAAAAAACACATCTGATTAACGAGATAGCTTCTTTCTGTAGGACTACGGTGGACAGATTTTAGAGAAATGTGGATTTTTCGAAATTTGCTAACTTCGCCCACTTCTGACCCCATCTTCCTATTCCAACCCATCCATGCCTAGGCCACTAACCCACCGCTAACCACCAATGAACCACTTCTGACCGATTTATATATAGAGATCAAAGATCAAATTAAGAAAACATCTCTAGATGCTATAGGGTAGTGCTCTTTCACATTCTTACTGGTGCCCAACTTTCTTCACCTGTTGATAGCGCATCAAGGGTTGTATCGAGTTATTACTATGCTAGTGCCTTGATCATTCTCCTGAAATTATTACTTTACTTTGATCTATCATAAAATTCCCCGAAAAATTTCAAGTCCGGGACCGTTATTAAATCAGCTTCTTGTGTATTCAACCTCCAATTTTTCTGTTAATTTTCTGGTTTAGTTCCTTCGAATATAAACACAAATACCGGTATCCGGGCACTTCGTCCCCATTTTCCATAAAGATACGCATAAAAATAGACTTTTCCTACCTTATAAATCCTCGCGTAAAAGAGCTCAAAGCTCGCTCTTATCATAGAAAGAAAAATATTACAAAGATGGATATAAATGACTATCTAGCGTTTAATCATCAGCGCTAGTCCAGGTGATATGAGGTCACTCTCGCAGCTTAATTAGCAAATCTCGCACTTCCGGCTGGCAATTACAATACCACCCACATAGCTTGCAAAATTTCCGTGAATGTCGCGAAATTTTGAATATTCCGCGAAATTTCGAAAATTCCGCGAAATTTTCAGAATTTCGCGAAATTCACGGAAATTTTGCACATTCTGTGAGCGGTATTGTACAGAGGTGTAATACAATATGAAAATTTCCTCAATGCTTAGGCTTAAAAGGTCATCCAACATAGACTTTTTTGACTAAGGAAAGCTTTGTGTTTCAACAGTCGACATATCAATCGAAAGCTTGGAACATACAGAGTTGAAATAGACCCTTTGTTTTTTTTTTCAACTACTGCAAAATTTTCTATGTGAGTTCAGATATAAAAGATCATATCTAGTTCCAGCATCAGCTGATTTTGTGCAATCACTTGGAGCTTCATTTCTGAAAGAAAAAGGAAAGCTAGAAAAAAAGAAGACGGTCTATTTTTACTTTCGAAGTCTTGCTCTGTGATAGAGTTAGACAACTAGGCATTTAAAATCCTCTTTGCAAAAAAATTTCTTCACAAAAACACATGTTTTTAGGTACCATGTATCTCTGAGTAGAGGGGAGCTAAAGAAATAAAGACGGTCTGCGTCGAATTCCTGTTTTATGAGTTTTTTAATGGTATGTAGGTTGTTGAGTGAAAAAGCTTGCGGCTTCACAAAATTGAGGTGGAGATATTTAGTATTAACTTGCTCCACTTCTTGCTTTCGAAATCAGCGTAGACCGTCTCTTTTTTCCTTGCTTTTCTGTAAAGCGAGATACGAGCAGTTTTATCTAGCTACAATATCAGCCAATTCTGGATAATTATCTTTTCAAACGAAGAAGGCCTTTTTCGAACATTCATATATAATTCGAAAGCTTGAGAAACGAGTAATCTGACTGGCTCTTTCTTGCGATAATGTCTGGTCATTGATACAATGTTAATTATTCAAAAAAAAATCAGACATCCTTTTAATTTTTGATTATGTTGCGTTATCAACGCCACTTTGAGTGGCGCAGAAGGTCTCAAGCATGCGTTTTTTTCCAATAAAACGCTGCTGCTTCGATACTCTCTTGCAGTCTTGATGTCTGAGGAGAAGAGCAGCTGGCGTTTCCTTTCCAAACAAAAAAGTGCCGTTGTAACAGCTGTTGATACTGCTGTATGCCTTGATTTTAGTCTCAAGCTCAGGTGAGAGGGGTCAGTCAGATGCCGGCCCTAAAGAAGGAAGTCAGAGAAATTTCTCCACTTAACTATGATACAAACTACGATATTATGAAACAACCTATAAATAAAAATATGGCGTATTAGGCTCTCCGCGAGCGAAAGGTCGAGAGGTGCTGGTGGCTGTGACGTGATCCATCCATTTCACTACGGTGGAATGTTACGCAGTCAAGACGCTCATCCGTCACCTTGGTCAATTAGCAATTGATCACCTATCCTCAATTGAAAAACTACAATATACCTCAGCAAAATTCAAGTTCGTTCGGGTTATACCCATATAGAGTAGACCCTGAAAAGTTTAAAGCATCTTACCAGATAATAGCAAGAAGGTCGTGCATTTTCTATTATCAGATCCCAACTTCCTCACTCTGACATTGCTTGCAATTTCGCTCGCAAAAATAATAACTATTAAGCGTTTAGGCGATGTGAATTCAACTCGCACTTGAGTGATTACCACATACTGCAATATAACACCTTCAATCCGTCGAAATTAGTACGGAATCTTCTAGCAATATTGAAGGAACAAAATGTTTCTGACTTTTCTATTGACTACATAGGTAAAGTGAAAACCAAATTTTTTAGCGTCTAGCTTTGGGAACAACTGCTTTTTTTAATTTCAGAGCGATCCGTCTTTTATGCGCGTACCAATCACAGCACGATGGGAACAGTGGAACAAGAAGAAACAAGAAGAAGCATACTCTCAAACAGTTACTTATTGGACCTTCTTATCAAAATGTTTTACTATGACTTTGTTCTGTTTGGTTTCCCATTTCCCGTCGCAAATCAAGTTTCGAATTACGTGTAGTCACAAGGAATCATTTCAACAAAACAACTGCAAACTTGGTGACTGCCTAGGCAGTTCTCGGAGCCTTTACCTTAAAAGATGAACTTGTGCTCATAATTGCTTGCTCGCCTTGTGAAAACAGGAGATTGTTTTCACTAGAACAGGTACATTATAAACCCCGAACAGCTCTCGCGTACGTGGCTATTTCAATGCAAAAGAGGCTAAAGTCTTGACTCTCGCGATGTTTTGATTCTGGACTCAATAAAAGAAGATTGGCATCTACAATATCTCCAGCAGATATGGGCCGAAAATGCATATAGACAGAGAGGAGCCTATTTAGTAAGCCTTTACGATTATCCGAAAATTAGACTTGATAACAGGGATATGTAAAAGCTTGCTACTTACAAAGAGTATCATTAAAAGAAAACGAGTGTTAGGCAGTTTTTCAACTGAGCATTAGGAACGGTAAAGCTGCTCAAGAACAAAAAGTTGAATTAAAATTGCGTACACAAAGATGCCGTAACATGAATTTAATTTGGAGGTTATTCACTTGACTCCCAACTTTAGATTCACAATAAGAAAAAGTAGCCGAGAGAAGGCCGTTACTCGAATATCTGGGAGGAACGTTACTTGTGTTTGACCGTGAACAAGCAATAAGTAGCATGCACTAAATACACGATATTTAGTATCCGCACAGCGGAACAAGGAATAGGATAGATGGTTTTCGAAGAGGAAAGCTCTAGAATAGTAGCTACAAACAGAAACAGATGTTCAAGTAAGTTTGACAGAAATTTTAAATTTTTTACGACTGCATCTCAAATGATGGACTATTAAAAGTGTTCCTTACTTCTCCTAATTTCAAAAGTACATTTTTTTGCTAAAATACACGTGTTCAAGCTTCATAGTGCTTCTTTCTTTGCACCATATTTGTTCCCAACTTCATAGGAAGGAGTGCCAACCATCTGCCACGTCTCAAAAAATTGACATGTTATTCAAATGTTCAACAGGTCTAACCAGGAGTTTGCGTTTCCCTACCTAGCGACGTAAGTTCAGTCTGTTTTTTAGTCAATAGTGGCAACATTTTCGATCGAACAGTATCAAAAATGAACGTTATTATCATAATAACGTCATTTTGTAATTAGTAAGCAGATTAGGCTTGCCCAGAAGTAAGCTATGGTTCTATCGTCTAAGTGACAGAACAAGCAGTAGCGAAGAACTTCAAGCCATCATTTATAGTCTTGTGTCGCTAAATTCGCAAGGCGAAAAGTTTTTGAAGAGAAAGACAATGAATAATTGCTGAAAAAGGTGAAGATGTTCTAATATAAGTTTTAGATTGTTTTGCTCTTATAAAAAACAATCAAACAGCTTTTAGGTAATCACAATGTTCTTTTACCTCACCGGAAATGATTTAGAAAAAACAAACATGTCAAAACGATCAAAATGTGTCAATATTTTTCTGACATGTGACGGGGAGGCAGTCCTCGTAGAATCTATGAAAATTTGTTCTAAAACTACAGAACGAATTTTATAAGAGTTTTTTGAAAAAATGGAAATAACGGAAATTTACCGATTTTGCTATCTCAGAAACATCACTGAAGGAAATTTGAGTAAAGAATCAGTTTGAGTGATCTGTTGCAGAAAACAAAGAAAGAAGGGAGGATTAGTTCGCAAAGAGTGCAGACCGCAGAGATACGGAATGAGTACGTAAGAATTATTTGCTGCCGCTCACTTTGCATGCTGTGCGCTCTGAGTTCAATATATTCTCAACTTTGCTAAATGCGCTCGATTTTATCTTCGCGTTTTCCTTTTTATAGAAGGTTGATTTATGTCCGATAAATGTTTTTTTTGCTGCGCTACTTTTGGGATTTACTTTTATCTACTTTTATTCTTATCTTTACATAAGCAGGTATTTTCTTCTCGGCGCTCAGGTTCGGCAGAACCATGTGCACTTTGATTTCGCAAGTCACAGTAAAATTCCAAAGCATCAAATCTTTTTTCTTTATTGTATTCCAAGCCCAAGATCTGAACGCAAGAGAGTGAATTTCTTAAACACATTTAGAGTCAACTAAAGGGATTTTTTGCTATACTGTTGCTGTCATCCCATTTACCTTATATCTAAGCTAGCTGATCTTACAAGCAAAAATTGGACAAGGCTAAACTTCTGCAGCATGGAACTAATAAGGAAGAGATTGGTTGACGATCATGGTTTTGTTAAAAGAAACGTGCACCATTGAATGCACCTTGAGAAGCTAATTCCAAATCCGCTTTCATTCTGCTGGGCGCTTTTCGAAAGAAGTTATGACCTTTTCTTGCCACCAAAAGTTGCACTGTTTTGTTAACAGGAATCACCAATATCGTTGGAGTGTTCACTTAGCACTGAAAAAAAGCGTTTAAATAAAACAAAGCTCTACGTAAAGCGCAGGAGAACTGTCTCTGATATATCTAAGTTCAAAAAGCCTGTATACTGACGAATCTGACTGCTTAGATCTCGTAAAATCAATAAGGAAAAAAGTCCACAACTTCGTTCAAAAGTCGCACAGCAGTTAGTGAACACACACTTGGAATCAGAGTTTCAAGGCGCATCTACTGGTATACATCTCACTGCAAAAAGCCACGGTCACTACGTATCCTTTTCTTGTAAGCACTCTGCATGAAAATTCAAAAATAAAAGACAGATAAAACTAGGTATCTATGGACATGGCTGCAAAGCTTATTCTTGAGCCATTCATTAATCATTGTTTGCCTTCAAAAACTACTATGCTTTTGCTTCATATGTCCACTTCTAAAGCTGTTTGATACAATGTGTATCCAAGCTTCCATGCTTTATTATTAGTGATGCTTTGCAGTACTTTTGGGCAGTGTGAATCAATGAATTTACAAAGAAGGTGAGCACAAGAAATAAAGGTTGTTTCAAAATTCAATTTTCATAAAAGTTTTGCAACAACTCACTGAACATTGCACTTCAGATAGGAACGAACGTCAGTTACGCAAATTTCCCTTTATGTACGTACCACAAAGCCTTTGTTATTTTCTAAAGAATATTACGCAGTTTCATTAAATCAAACACTGCTCTACACCCAGAGCATCTAAAGTTCTGCTCAAGCCTATTCCCATTTCTTCACACTTCTTTTACAAGCAAGCATTTTTTCTCGCGCACGCAAAAAATCTCAAATACCAATAATATCAATAACAGCGGCAGATCGAGCGCATTAGATAAAGATCGGGACGCAAGGTCTGGGTGGAACAGACAAAGAGAAAATTTGACAAATAAGATTGTAATCTTTAAGTGTACGCACTTGAAAAGGTTTCGAAGAACAATAAAATTACGACTAATGCTAAATATAAAAAGCTGGTAATCTCTCAAGTGTACGCCCCAAAAAAGTTTCCAAGAACATAACACGATTAATGCCACACTGAAAGCTGGATATTAAAGACTTTGAACTTTCACAGACGACCTATAGCGAATCTTGCAAGAATGGAACTACGAAAGAGGGCATTTCCTCTACTAGTGAACGCTAGCCAATCCATGAACAGCTTGAGGTATGTATCTAAATATGATACAAGCAGTGGCGTACCGAGGGGGGGCGCCCCCCCCCCCGAGAACGGGTCGCGAAATTTTTGAAAGTTACTTATATGGGTTATAAAAATGTGCAAGTGACTTGTTTATACTTATAAATAATTAAAATAATTCTTAAAAATTCTTAAAAATTCAAATTAGCCTTGTAAAAAAATTTTTTTCGGGGGCGTGGCTGACGCCACGCCCCCTTTTCCAGATTTTAGGGGTTGGGGACCCGCAAAAGTTTTCAGAAGCACCGCTTCGTGGTTTGGGCTGGATAATCTTATTGTATTGTTGTAATCAGTCCCAAACCACGAAGCCCTTGCAGTGACGAGGCAATGGAAAGAATAAGGAAAAGCACTGTAAAGAACATCACTTTATGTAATAGAGTTTGTCCCTTGGTCTGCTGACCAATGCGCATCCTTCTATGTTCTGCCTGAGGCTACAGCTGAACGGCACAACTCAGTTTGACACACACTGGTTGGACAAACCTCGCTTATCTAGTTTATAAGGAGAACGTGACAGCATGAGGCATTTTCATTTTCATTTGGTATAAAAAGTGCAAAAGTTGCAGCAGGCAAGGTTTCGTTCCAAGTTTGTATTTCTCATCTCGACTCTGGTCCGCTGTCATTGTCTTGAAGGCAGTGTTCAGGCAAATCTGGGTACATGAGGTTTTTTCCTAAAAACTTATGGGGGGTCCTAACCAGGATCCGGCACAGATGGTCTGGGGTTAAACTGGACTTCGTTTTTGAAGTTAGAAGCAACGGGGAATTTTTTTATAAGGTTCTGGGGAAAGCGCCGATAAAAAAACGACGATCATGTCAGGTTTTATGAGATGAACGTGTTCTTTCGCAAGCGCAGATTTCGAACGTAAGACTCAAACAATAAAATGGCTTGTTTACAGCGCAGAAATAATCACATGGCTCCGAACATGGGCTACTGTATACAATATTACTCCTAACTATGTTATGTAAAAAGTTTCAAAAACTTAAGTGTCTTAACATCCGTTCCCGAATTTGTTGGTTTCTAGGCCAACACCAAACCAACTGGGTTGGTTCGGAGCATAAATATCGGAGAGTTCATATAAGTTTTGTTCCTTTTTGATTTGGACAGATTAGAACATTCAAAAATCCATCATGTAGTGAAGAGCGAATCAAACCATTGCCTCTCCTCTTTTTTGAGCCAAAAGTGTAAATCTATTGTAAATCGCGTTTATAAATATTGCGCTGCAATCACATGCGGTGTCCTTTGAGCTATGTGGCGAAAAATGCATCGCCAGATTGTTGAGGCCACAGATTTGGTTGGCCTAAGATGTTTTCGACATTCCGAGCACTAAAATAGTACCCTATCCAATGACAAAGCCTTTAATCAACTCGAAATGTTTTCTTTTCGCTTTTTTGTTATATTAAGTACCTTAAAATGCGCTCTTTTCCCTCTTTATTGTTATTTTGATTGAGCAAGTGTTTCCCTACTGATTTTTACGTCAAGAAAAA